TTATTCCGTGTGAATATTTTTTTTTTTTTTTTTTTTTCAGGTTTTATTTTATTTTATTTTTTTTTGGTACAACGATAAATCGTATTTTTTTTTATTAAAAATATCAAATTAGTGCAGAGCATGTTATCACCACCACATTCTGATAATAATTTGTTTTTTAATACAGCAGATATGCATGTACACATTATATAAACAAGTATTTAATAAATAAAAATATCTGTTAGTAATCATAAGTAAATGATCTACACCGGATTAATTATTAATTGTCAACAGTTAATGAACTAATCTTCGCAAATTACTGCAGCAAAAAAAAATATGGAAACCTTAAGAAAACCGCGCATATATTAAACATCATCTCAATGAACTACTGTACAACGTTATATACGGTTACGTATTGTTTCGGAACCACCTAATTAAGTATTTGTTGTTTATATATATATATGTGCGTACTATTTAGATATCTTTGCATAAATATCAACAATATTGCCACAAATAAACAGATGTTTAGTACATAAGTTCTTTATTACGACAAATCGAATATTTAACTGTAGTATAGTACTACTGTAATCATCAATTATTCCGCTTTTGTTCTTATTTACCTATCTGCTTCAAAGTCATTAAAGTTGTTACAGTTTACAGTTATAAGTGACTCATCATTGTTCATATAATTTATTGTTCATTTAGAATTATAACAGATAAAGTTTTGCCATCATAATGCAGGGGTCATTTGGAATTTTAGATGATGGAAAATTGTACAACTTATTATGTTTCTCACGACCTAATTTGTATCAGAATAAGCGTAATATCATACGCTTCTGATTTATCACATGATCGCATTTTATCTATCTGAATTTAATGAGATTAATTCATTTGGAATACCGATATTACACCTATGACCTATCGTATTATACTCCGTTGTGGTCGATACCTTTGGAGCATGGTTACCGGTCATATCCCAAATTATCATGGAACAGGAATATTTGATGTTCCACATTCAACAAAGATTAATTCTAATTATCACACACATTTGGCGCATGGTCAAATCTGACCATGATACATAATCGCGTTTGAGCTACAGTCATTTAATATTATATCGCTATATAAAATATTCTAGGAAAATGTAAATACCTTCAATAGGTCATGGTTGAAAAACTTGAAATCATAAGAAAGGAGAATGGATCTTTGGCATTATCATTATATATAATTAATGTATTGCGCGGCGTTTGACCAGTATTTTATGATGTAGTAAACGTGGAAGTATCGATTTCTCAGCTCTCTAATATATTACTATTTTTATTAACTATTAATAATGCCCTGTAAAAAAAGTCTTTTTTATTCCATCTTTTTTCCGTAAAAAGCTCATATTTCCGGAATTAATAACTTTATATCACGGAATTTATCGAATTATTTACATTTTCCGTGAATGGATCCGTGAAAGGCTCATTTTTACGGAGTTTTTACAGAAATAACGGAGAAAATTTTTTATAGGGCATAAATAAATAATTTTATAATTAACTTCCTTGACGATGTCTAGGTTTTATATCATCTACTATATTTTATATAATGAGGTATGTCTTTGGATCATATTTATCCGTACGTCATTCTCGTACAAAAGGGATCATAATAAGTAAAAATCTTTATTCTATCTTACTACTTGACAAATTATTGCTATTTAACGAAATAATATTATTACAGAAATGCAACGGTGGACTAACTAACGAGCTCACGCGTTTATATCAGGTAACTAAATTAATATACACAGAAAAATTCTTTTTCACTCAAAATCATTTTTATTTCGAATTCTTAATATAGTCTCAATTCTCAGTTTTTTAAGAAAATTTATTATAAAATATAATTCTCAAAAATCCGTGATATGCAAAATTGTGCGTTTGATTTATGCATCTACTTACTACCAAGTTATAAAGAGAAAGAACGCGTGACGTATGGAAGTCTTCTTTAAACAATGGAGTCTGAGAAAATTGTCATATTCAAAACACTTCTTTAACTATGATTTTTATTAAGTTGAAAAAGAAGAACATTTGAAATTAATAGACCATCGTTATTTTTTTATTAGTTAGATTTAGGCAAATTTGCCGTATATCGCATGTTTTTACTCAAAAAAAAAAACCAAGTTGAATTGAATCATGTGCCGGAATAGCCTGTCCACTTTTTTATTCCAAACTTGGTGTAAATGGAGAATTATTCATTCCATTATCCACTCATATTCTTTAGCAAATCTATTATTATAGTATGTCCTCGCGTTTCCTTAGTTCATAAAATTTACATTGTACTGTTATTGTCTTGAGAAAATAAATTGATATGATTCCAAAAATAATAATATATAGTACCTTTAAAATTTAAATTTAAAAAAAAATGTTGGACAACTATCCAACGATTTCCTTTTCCATAGAGGTAGGTTTTGTATAATTCAAGATAAAGCATAAATACAGAGGGCGATCAGAATTATCCGGCCACTTTTCAAGTTGAAAAAATTTATATATATATAATATAGCAATAATAAAAATTTAAGTTAAACAAATTCATTATGTCTTTGTTTACTAATTCAGATAAAATTTTAATAATAAATTCTATCTCCATTTGCAAAAATAACTCCCCAATTCACAGAAATATGCTATTGATAGATTTTTTATAATATTCTGGAGGAATACCTTTCAATGCAACTTTAACATAGTACATTTCAAGTAGTTTTATCAGAAAATTTAATAAGGTATGCAAGCATAATGTTGAAAAAGTATTATGCCATTATATTACATATTAATTACAGGTATTATGCAAATGTAATACTATGTAAATTATAAATTTTTCAAGTTTGCGAAATTCGCGAATTTTAAAATTTAAAATTGTATGTTAAGGTTATTTTGAGATCTAGTGATTGAAATTTTGAAATTTTTGGTTCATCAGATTCGTCTCATTGAGAGGATTTGAATGGTAATAATTTAATGTTTGTAGGATCGATATTCATCACATGATTACGCTCTAAAAGCCTAAATGTCATCTGCGATATTTTCTGATCCTGTGGTTAAAATTTTACGATTTATAGCTCTTTTGATCCGTCTCATTGAGACGATTCGAATGGCGGTAAGCACAGGTCGATCAGATCGATATTGGCGAAATTATGATATTTTTAATATTTTTAAGTTTGTTTACACAAAATTGTAAAATTTATAAAATTCATACAATAGGGTGACTTCATATTTTCGAAAAATATGAAGCATTGGAATTTGTTTATTGTGATTATAAATACAAAATTATATCTTATTTATATTACATTAACACATCATGATCAACAAAATTTTAGCAAAATAAACTGGCCGGATAATTTTGATCACCCTCTGTATTTGCTTTTTGACATTTTATATTAGGAGTAGCCTATCTGATAAGAGACCGGAACAAAAGACTAACTATATGTGGCGTTCACAATAGTTACAATTACTGAGAACTCCCACAATCTTTGTAGAGAAGATAAGTCAAGAGACATATCGAAATTATTACAAATAAAGAAGACTTGTCGTTTGACGAAAGTTATATCAAATACTTCTGTTTCAACTTGCAATAAAACAACTGGAAGCATAAATTATATTGGGAGCCAATCTTAAGAAAGTGTTGAGAAACTACTTCTTTCATCCTAAAAAGAATATAATGGATACCTACCCATAAAGAAATTTGAACGTATTACAGTATATATAGGAATATACGGCGGAGATCTGAAAATTTTTTATAAAATTAAATATCTTCATAATGGAATTGGAGCGTAACCAGTGAAAACAGTGTCTAAAATGTTCGTATTTTTGTATCCAACTGGCGTACTTTAGTTCCGAAAGAATATCGCTTTGCTTAATAGTAGTAGCACGCGAATACAGTCCACGATACATATTCTTTATATTAATTAAAATACTACAGACCAAACTGATCAGACCCTGTAAAAAAAGTCAATCCGTTTTTTATATTCCATTTTTTTTCCGTGAATTAATAACCTTATATCGCGGAATTTATCGAATTATTTACATTTTCCGTGAATGGATCCGTGAAAGGCTCATTTTTACGGAGTTTTTATAGAAAAAAACGGATAAAATTTTTTATAGGGAGATAATCTGAGCGTTTACGTTGTAGACTTGCAGAGTAATAAATCGAACATGACAACTAATCGATCCAGGAGTTATTTAATTATCGTGTTACTATGTCGTGAATTCGATATATATTGTCACATGGAAATGCTAATGCTGGAGTTACTTCACAAGTTCGGGAGAAAAGAGAAGATATGAAGAATTTTCTTTATTAAACTTCGCAGATTCAGTAAATCTATTGACAGGTCGCGAACAATTGTGTGGGCTTGGACTTTAAGTTGGATTATCAAATTGCGCAGATTCTAACCTTCTTACTAACTCATCTAAAAAGTAATTCAATCGATGGCTTCTTTCTAATTTTCGTGTATGCAATAATATTTTAACATGATCATTTTAAATTTTCGTCTTTAACATCCAATCAAAAAATATAAATTGGTTTCTTAGTTATCTTTATTTGGTCAAAAGAATGCGAGAATGCGAGGTTTTAATTAAAAAAAAATAAAATAAAAATAAAAATAAAAATAAAAATAAATAAAAAATAAAAAATGAAAAAAAATTCAAAAAATAAAAAAAAATAAAAAATCAAAAAAAAAATATTTGGTGGTTTAAAATAATTTACCAATCATGTTTTATTATGCTTTATTGCTTTATGCTTTATTGCTTTTTTGTACATTCTCACTCTCGTTTTTTACCGAAAAATTTTTGTCTTTGTTATTTTTTTTTTTCATTATTCCAATTCATTCATTGCTTTACAAGTACATATTAAAATTTTTTACACAATTATCTCTCATAGTACATTTTGATCGGCAAATTGCACGTGATATCAATTTATCTCCAACCTAGGGTACCTGTCACAGATTTCCGATTTTGAACCCCCGATTATCAATTCAAAATTTTTTTTCTTTTTGATTCGAAATGTTCAAGAAAATCAGATTAGAAAAAAATGATAAAATTCAAACACCAAGTAATCACACTAAAATTTTTCAACCTTTTCGCGCAATAGGATATTTTGCAAATGATATACCTTTTGATATTCAGAAAAGAGGAGACGTATATTACCTCACAACTTGTGTTGGTAATAGTTTTCATGTATATGAAGTATGTTAAAAACAGGTTTATTATTTTTCTTACAAATTATATCAATACTTTAATAAAAGTAATAATAATTTGTTATTATATTTGCATATTTCAAGTGCGGGAAACTAAATTTGATAACTATAGGTATGTTCCATTCGTGTTAGAATTATTCAATACCATTTATTTATTAACGTTTATTTATCGATAAGGTCCTCAAACAAATCAACCTATTACGGCTATTGCATCATTAAATGAAGATACTTTTGCTGCATGTGGAAAAGAAATCATCGTTTATCATCGTGGTAAAGAGGTGATTTTTCAACTTTTACTATTCCATTTTAATTTCAAAAATTTTAGTAATTTAGACGAGTTTTTTAGGTTACTAGATATACTGGAAATATCAAGGGAAATATATTTTCGCTTATAATTTTTAGTAATTATATTATTGCTTTAAACGATGATAATGTACTTACTTTATGGGACCATACTTCTGGAGGTATGAAATTTGTTAGTTTTTTTTTTAGAAAAAATATCTTGATGGAATTTAACTTTAAAAAAATTACATTTGAATAGAATTTTATGATGAAATTAAATTTGATGAGGATTTTACTTTATCAACGGTCATCCATCCAAGCACTTATCTAAACAAAATATTGATTGGTAGTAGACAAGGAAAAATGCAAATTTGGAATGTTCGCACAAAGTATTTATATCATTTTAAATAATTTTGTTAATTTTATTTTTTATTTATATTTTCTATTTTCCTTTTTTTTTTACTTTTATGTGATAGGAAAATGATATATTCATTTCCTTCATTTGAATCTCCAATTACTTTCCTTACACAGTCTCCTGTTGTGGATGTTATCGCTATTGGTTTACTTAATGGAACAATAATTTTGCATAATATTAAATTGGATGAGAGTATAATGTCATTAAAGCAAGAGGGATGCGTTACTTCAATTTCGTTCAGAACTGGTATTTTTGAAAAAATTATCATCATATGTATCATCAATATTGTTATAATGTTAGTCAACCTCTCTAACTAAACGTGTTTTATAGACGATAGGCATGTCATGGCTTCTGCTAATATGCATGGAGATATATCTATGTGGGATCTTGATAAGCAGAAATTATATAATGTGATTAAAGGTGCCCATGATGGATTAATTCCTTCAATGCAATTCCTTATTGGACAACCAATATTAATAACATCTGGCGCTGATAATTCGATTAAGGTATAAATATATTTTTAATATCATTATAATATTAATTCTAAAGGTTAAGATTTATTTTACATTTATTCTTAGGAATGGATTTTTGAAGGGCGAGATGGATTTGAACATCGTGTTCTTAAGTCGCGTAGTGGCCATCATTCACCTCCAACAAAGATCAAATATTATGGGTCTTCTGGACATTTCATTCTTAGTGCAGCAGGAGACAGGTCACTTAGAGTATTTTCTGTAATTCGCGATTCTCAGAGTGTAGAATTATCGCAAGGTTATAAATCTCTTACTTTACTGTATCAATTCAAAATAATTTTTTTTCAGTAATTACAATTAAATCATTATATTAATAAATTTAATAATTTTTAGGATCCATTATTAAACAATCCAAGCGTTCAAAAAAGCATGTTGATGAACTTAAATTTCCCCAGATTACGGATTTTTCATCATGTAAGATATTACTTTAGTGATTATAATATCTATCGTACCTTTTTTTTAAACAATAATTACTTTTTTTTTTAGCCGAATCTAAACAAAAAGAATGGGATAATATCCTTACATGTCATATTAATGATTCAAGAGCTCGAACATGGTCATTTCAGAGAAAAGCTCTAGGAGAACATATTTTTAAAACTCTTGATGGAACATCGATTAAGGTGCGTGCAATAAAGAATTTTCTTTTTTTAAAAAAAATCTTAAAATTAATTTATTAATTTAGGCATCAAATATAAGTGCATGTGGAAATTTTGGATTTATTGGAACATCATCTGGTGGAATCGAAATGTTTAATATGCAATCTGGATTACATAGAAGAACTTTTGCTGGAAATGATGGTACATATAAATTTTCTTGTTAACTTCATCTGCAAATCATTGGTTATTAAATAGTCTAATTGGTGATGTAGGACATGTCAAATCAATATCTGGTTTAGCAAGTGATCCAGTTAATAGAATATTAATTAGTAGTTCTCTTGATGGTACTGTTAAGGTAATTGATTATCAATGTCTTGACTTTTGGCTTGCGTTTATTAACATCGTCAAAACTTTTATAATGCTTTAGATATGGGATTTCCATACAGCGAAAGTGCTACATACTATTAAGATCATGTCACCTATTTCCACCATGTTATTTCATTGCAACAATGATTTATTAGCGATTACTAGTGATGATTTATGTATACGTGTAATTGATATAGAAACTCGCAAAGTTGTAAGAGAATTTTGGGGTCATCGGAATAGGATCTCAGATTTGGTAGGTTTTCCATGATTAATTTAAAAAAAATAGTATATTACAAGATTATAATATTATTTAACATATTACAGACATTTAGTCCTGATGGAAGATGGATTGTTTCCACATCTCTTGATACTACAATTCGTACTTGGGATTTACCTACGGGTCATTTAGTTGATATCTTTCGGGTGGAAGACATACCCACGAGTGTTACATTTTCTCCAACTGGTGATTTTTTGGCCACTTCACATGTTAACAATGTTGGAATATTTTTGTGGTAACTAATCGGAAAAAAAACCATTAATCCGTTTTTTTTAACACGCAAAGATAATAGAAAGTTTTTTTTTTTGATCTATGTTAGGGCGAACCGTGCACAATTTCATAATGTATCCTTACGAAACATAAGTGACGATGAAATAATATATACAGTAGCGCTTCCGACTACAACTGGATTGGAAAGTGATAATGAAGGTATAAATAATATAACCATAATTCTAATGAATCTATTCAAATGATAACACGAATTATTTTATTTTAGATGAATCTGATGAAGTAGTTAATGATAAGGAAGATGAAAAATCATTTGAAACTGCAGAACAACTCTCAGAACAAATGATAACATTATCATCAATGCCAAAATCCAAATGGCAAAATTTGTTAAACTTGGAGACTATTAAGGTATTTGTGAATATGATTTAATTATTAATTAGTTGTTAGTAATTATTTGATTTTTAACGCCCTATGTCAATAATACCCTATATCAATAACACTTCATGTCAATAACACTCTGTCAATAACACTCTCAATAATACCCCATATCAATAATAGAAAAGAAATAAACCCAAAGAACCTCCAAAAGTAGATGATAAAGCACCATTTTTCTTACCTACGTTGCCTGGAGTTGATCCTAAATTTATACCAGTAAATAATTCAAATGATTCTAAAGACAAGGAAAAATCCAAGAATATAAAAATGTCTGATATTAAAGTAGAAACAGAATTCGCGAGAATATTAAAAAAGAATCAAGAAGAAGGAGATTGTAAGTTAATCTTTTTTTTTAAACATTTTTTAATAAAATAATTTAATTAATAATTTATTTAAAAAAATATTATTATTATTATTATTATCATTTCCCATCATATAATTTTCCCATCATATATAGATACAGAATTTTTTGAATTCACGAAGACTTTAAATCCTTCAGCAATTGATTTTGAATTAAGATCATTAAGTCTAGAAAATAATTTTTTAGATTTAAAATATTTTTTAAATGCGATTGAATTTAAATTAAAAACAAAAAAAGATTTTGAATTAGTACAAGCTTATTTAAATCATTTTTTAAAAATTTACGGGGATATTATTTTATCAAATAATGATGATCAACAACTTTATAATCATTTAACTTCTATATTAAATGAACATAAAAAAGAATGGAAAAGGATAGAAGAATTATTACATTATAATCTCTGTGTATTAGGATTTTTTAGAAAATAATTTATACAATAATAATAATATTAATAAAAAAAAAACAAAGAGTATTGTAATTTAAAGAATTCTGGATAATCTGATCTAAAATTGTATCTAAACAGTTTCAATTGTTTCAAATGATGAAACATTGCTTTTGCGATCCTTCTAAATATAGTGAACAAACAATCATTGCAATATAAAAAAAATAATACAAAGAAAAAATAAGGTTAATTAAAATCATTTTTCAAAAAATTTATGCTTGTTTTTTTTTAAAAAAAAAAAATTCTTTAAAATGAGATAAAAATAATAACAAATTGAAGAATAATTTAAAATTGTAAATAATAAGTCCCATCCGTTTATCCGTTTTTTCAGAATAAATTTTTTTTTATATTATAAAATATCCTTTTAAACGGAAATAATATCTATATAACATTCAGTTCATAACAAAGTTCTTATTTACTACTAATAAAAAAAAAGAAGGATGCTAAAATTACAAGGCCATGGTCGCACGTAGTTCCGCTAGTTCATCATCTTCATCCTGTTCAGTAACAGTAACTCTCTTTTTGTACGCTATTATAAAGTTTAAAAATAATTTGTTAATGCTAAACCAGTAACGAGAAAAAAAAAATATTCATCAAATTTCATACCAGGTTCGCTTGTTGGTACGTTAGGAGCAGTAACTGGAGGTGCATCTGCTCCGAGCAATTGACTATCAAGAACTTCTTGCTCTAATTCTTCTAATTCTGCGTTCAATTCATCCTAAATAAAATAAAAAAAAATTGTTTTTATATTAGTAAATAATAATTTTTTGATTTGATAACAGTGATAAATAGCAATTATAATAAAATGAAATATACATCGTCTATATCGAAACCAATCATTGGTGCAGAAATTGCATTTGAAATTTCATCAGCCATATCAATTTGTTCGCGTATATTATCCATTGTATCATCCACTTTATTTATATCCCTAAATATAAAAAAAAAAATAGGTTATTTTTTAAATAAATAATTTATATATGATATATTTGTTCAAGGAAATGTAATAACATACATAGATCCGTGTATTGCTTTCATAGCTTCAGCACCTTTTTCCATAGCTTTAAGAGTTTCCAGATTAACATTCGCATTTTCAATCGCCATCACCTGCGCTTCGATTGTAATACGTGCACCGGATATCTTTTCGATCTGATTTTCATATTGCTTCTTTCGTTTAAGCGCCATCAAAGCAGCTAGAAAGTAATAAATAAAAAATTACCTTTTTTTAGTTAATGTTTATGATACAAAAAAGGAGAAACAAAACATTTACATTATTATAACATCTAAGAAATCTAAAATGTTTAAATACAAGAAGAAAAAAAAAAAACAAACGAAAAAGAAAATTTTTTTTTTATAGAAAAAAAAAAAAAAAGAATTAATCTAAATAACGCGACGGGTTTCACGTATTACGTGAGAATTCCATATAAGAAGTTACTATTTGGTTTTTTTTTGGTTAAACATTAACATACCTCTTTTATTAGTAGCCGCATTCGACCTAGCATTTTTTAGCTCAGTATCAATCTTAGTTTGCAAATGACTTTCACGCTTTTCTAACATTTGCAAAGTATCTCTGAGACGAACGATAGCATCTTTAGCGTTAGCTTTTGGTTTCTGACGAGGAAAGAATAATTGCATCTTTCTTTTTTTTTAAATAAATGAAATATAAATAATAGTTATATAACGGACAAGAAACTACAAAAAAAAAAAAGAAAACAACGTAAATAAAATGGGATTAAATATCAAAAGATATAAAAGAACTAAAAGAACTGTAAAATAAAACTTTTCAATTTTAAAATTACGATACGTACATGACTTTTTCGTCGTTGAATCTCCTACCAATTGGAACAATAAAGTAAAGACTGAAAAATCCTAGGAATACCTAGTTTTGTATAAGTCATTCACGTAATTTCTGATCTACTTATAGGATGTTATTGTTTCAAAATGAGCCAAATCCGCAGGAACTTAACATATTTAATTTTTATGCATGAATACATGATATACATGACGAATTGTAATGCTCACGTGATAGAATACTTTTTAATTTATAAATTAATATAAATTTTTTTTTCTTTCAATCTTTTATACCTTATACATATAAATATATATATTAATATAAACAGTATCTATACATACTTCGTTGAACGATCAAACTTTCTTTTCTTTTCTATCTAGAATTTTCTTTATTTTTAAGAAGAATAAATATTTTGTTTATTTTTTTTAAAAAAAATATAAGAATACATAATGACGAAACAAGTGAAACCAACCCTAATTTCTATTATTTTATATGAAGCTTTATTTTTAATTTCCGGTTTTTTTTCAACTCTTGGACAACAATTTTTATATTATCAAGGTGCTGCAAGTAAGTAAAAAAAATAAATTGATTTTATTTAGTTCGATTAAAATAATTCAATATACTAAAAGTAAAAAATTTTTTTTTTTTTAATTATTAGCTGGTTTGAGGTTTGAGAATTTTTTTTTGTGAATTTCTTTTTAGATTTTTAGAAAAACAAAAGAATTTTTTTCCTTAGATTTATTTGATTTTTTTTAGTCTACTTACCAATACGGCAACTTATTTGGGTATGGCAGCTGTTGGGTTTTTACTTTTGCCTGGATGGTATGGATCTCGTAAAAATAATGATGATATTAATATGGTAGATGTCAGAAATTTTAGTGATCCTTATAATATCAATATCATAAATATAATTTTTTAAGTGATTTTCTTTTTTATAAACCTATTTTTCTTTCTTTTTTTTCTTTTCTTTTTTTTTCGGGGATAAAAGAAATGTGACGAATAGATTTATGATCTACTATTCAAATTCCTTATTATTATTTGAAATTTAGGCATCGATGACAAAAGATTATCAATTATTACCAGGAACTGAAGAAGAAACTTCAATAGATGCTCAAAATATTATTAATACGAACCAACCAAAAGAGGTTGTAGATCATAAAATCATTTTCGCTGCTGCTTGTTTAGATGTTATTGCCAATTTCGCTTTAACAATTGGATTCTTTTATGTTGGAAGTGGGGTAAGAAGGAAAAAAAAATTTTTCTTTTATTTTTATTATGATTTTATCAGATCATCGAAAATTAATTATTATATTTCATAAAATAGATGTACCAAGTAATATATAGTTCGGTTGTTATTTGGTGTGCTATTCTTTCATTCTTTTTTCTTGGACGAAAAATTTCCTTCGTACAATCGATTTCTATTATTGGTGTATCAGTTGGACTTGCACTTAGCGCATTAGGAATAAATCAAAATAAGGAATTGACTACGCCACCACCACCATCAAGTTCAACGGGAACGACGATGCCACATTCATATCACATGTCTAACACTATGTTTGGAATGCTTTTAACATCATTCGCAACATTTGGATACGCATGTGTTTATGTTGTATCAGATCAAATTTTAACAGCACGAGCACCAAATACACTACCACCATCACCAAAAAAAGTATGTTTTTTAGTAGGAACATATGGTAGTTTAATATCATTTATATATATAATATTTTATACTATTCCAAATTGGAATATATTAATAACACAAGAGATGGTAAAAAAAATACCACATTCAAGTAATTTTGTGATAATTTTAATGTATTTTTTATTATCTTTTTCATCATTTATTCATAATTTTGCATATTATTGGTTAATGAAAGAAATTGGTAATGTTTCTACGAGCATATTAAATGCATTGAGAGCCATAATTGTATTTGGGTTAAGTCATATGATGTTTTGTAAAATTGACCATGGACAATGTTTAAATATTTGGAAAGGGTGGAGTGCATTTATAGTGGTTGGATTTGTTACAATTTTTTCTGTGAGTAAGGCAAGAGAATCAAAATAAATAAAATAAAAAAATATATATATACGTATAGAGGGAGGGTTATATATAGTAAATTCTGTGAGTAAGGCAAAATAAATAAAAATATAATGGGAGGGTTATATAATATATACAGTATTATAAATATATTATCAATAATTTAATTACATGTAATATTATAATAATTATGATCTTGAATTCATTTATTTAAGTAGACTAATCATAATATTTACAATAAACTACAAAAACTTAGAAAAATTAACACTTATAACTAACACTTAACACTTAAGACTTTTAGCAACTACTACATAATAACAAATTACAACTACAGATCATAATAACAAAAAAAAAAAATAAAATATTTACTAAATCTACAACATCATTTCATCATGGTAAATTATCTCATGAATCGTTTGTTGATGAATTGTAATTAGCAGTTTTCACTCCTTTACGACTTTCAAAGAATTCTTTGTTAATAGTGATCAACTAAAAATTTCGATCAATTATTTCATTTATTTCGATTAATGAAAAAAATTTCGCGTTTATAATAAAAAGAATTTAGATTAATTTAAAGTAAATAATTTTTTAAAATACCAAAATAATAAATTAAATTACCTTTGGATTTTCATGTTGTTTAATCTTATTCCAAGGTTGTTGTGGAGAAATTCTATTAACTACAACTTCAGGACTTTTAGCTAAAGTGTATCCAGCATATCTAATAAAGAAAAAAATAAAAGGTTAAACTAAAATATCTTACAACCAAACGATAAAATCAATTACACGATAAATTAATCACTAATCTTTACCCAACACCACCGAAAATACCAGCGCCGGCAGCAACAAAAAGAGGAAGAAGCTTAAAAAAAAAATGAATAATAATTATAAATAATAATTATAAAATAAATAAAAGAAAATAAAGAATTTAAATAAATCAAAAGAAATTAAAAGATATACAAATAATTTATAATAATACTTACAGCTGGGTTTGTTCTAAAGAAAGCGGTAGCCATGACTAATTATTGTTAAAATTAGAGAAGAAAAAAAGAGTTGTGTGGAGAAAAAGTTTCGCCGTTAAAAAAAAGGATAATTATGTTTGTTTTGTTCAATATAATTGGTTAAAAGTCACATTACTTTAAAATTTTTATGATAAAATTTTCCCAAGCACAAAAAGTTAGTATTATGCTTTTAATGTTAAAACTATTTTTAATTATGGTTATCTATGATTAAATTTTCTCTCGTGATTTATTATAGATTTTATATCCGACCAATAGGATTTTTAATCTTTTACCCATTTTTTCCCCATGACTAATTTGTATCATTAATGCAAATAATGGGAAACTTATCAATAAAAAAAAACATATCCCATTAATGAAACATCTTATGTTCCAATAAATTCAATAAGGAAATTCATGGTTGTAACGAATTTTACTGTACATCAAAATTTCTTTGTTGAATTAAAAGAATCACAGTATTTCTTTAACCAAAAGATAAGGTTAATCTTACTGAAATTGACATGAATAAAGTACATATATATATGATGCAATAATGATTTCAATAAAGGTTACATTGGCTACAAATACTACAATATGAAAGTAACAACTACAGATCGAAACATTTTCTAACATATTTTTTTTCTTCAAAGAAAGGAAGAAAAGGAAAGAAAAAGAGATAAAAAGATGTTGATTTTTGCATACGTTCAAATGTTAAACGTTTCACATGATCTATATCTAAAGCTTTGCAGGTTTGCAGTATACTTGCTTTTAAGAGGAAAGTTGCACAAGATTTGCAATAAAAGAAATCAAAAAAGAAAAATGCAACCTATGCAAATTTTTATTGGTAAGGGCTTATCATTTTCATTCACTAAAATACTTAATAAGAAATTTTTCTGAATGGAGTTTTTACGGATCAAATTAAAACTTATATGATTTTGAGCTTAAACAAAATTAAATAAACAAAACAATAAAAATGTACTTTCAAATTCCGAATTATTTTTTTTTTAAACAATAAATAATGTAAATTTTTTATATTGTAAGACTGATAAAGTAATTATCACATGTAATGGTTAGACAAAGAATAAAGATAATATGAAAATTATTTCACTCTGTAACTCCTTAAATTACCTTCTGAAAGTCATACGTTATTCACATATGTCAATTTTATTTGTCGCGTCATTCTTATGAAATAAAAATATACAAATTAAAAAAAAAATCATTTAAATATAAACGGGTTTAACTATCAAAAAAAAATTTTTTTTTTTTAAAAAAGATTTCTCTTTTTTTTAAAAAAAAATATATATATATATTTATATATAAGATTTCTTTTAATAAACAAAAAAAATTTAAAAATTAATAAAAAATGTGGATTATTGATACAATAGTAAAATTATTTAAATTATCATATAATATTTTTATCCATTTCATTATTACTATAAATCGATGGATAGTGTTTTTAACACACCTAATAATGATGTAAGAATATAATTTATTTATATTTAAATATTTCAATAAGTAAATTATGGTTTATATTAAAACTTTTTTATATCATTAGGTTTTTCGTATGGAATTCATTATTAGTAATTATTGGTATAGTACAAACCGCACAATTGACAATAGGATTCGGCTGTGATGTATCAAACTTAGCTACCTTCTTAAAGAGTCCTGATTCAAATAAAATTTCTATTCAAGAAGAAAAGGAAGAAAAACCTTTAACCTTTTGGCAGAAACGCCGTAAAGTTTATCAAGAAATGATCGATAACCTTTACGTAAAATATATGGAAAGATTGGTTGAAATACAGCAAGAACAAGCAAAATATTGGCAATCTGATAATTATATTTACCCTCAATCACGTTTTTATGATTATGATAATTATAATTATGATAATGTTTATTATGATAATAATATTGAAAATCTAGATTATAATGGTGATGATAATGGTGAAACTAGTTCCGATGCTAGCGGTGGAAGTGGTGATAATAATCATCTTTTTATTCCTCCTATAAAAATTACTGAAGATACTTCTACTGCTTTTTAATAATAGATTTTATTTTATTTTATTTTCTTCTTTTTTTAAAAAATGCATTTCAAATAACAAATATAGCTTAAAATTATTAAATTTTACAAAATTGTTTAACAACTGTCGGCCGTTTCTTTTTTTTTTTTTAGCAGAGAGTTGGCTCGGGATTATTGTTTTACTTATATAAATCATAATCGATGATTCTCTCGCTTAACTTACAGTTGTAGGTAATAAATTAATAAATAAACTATAATTAGAGTAAAATTTATACTACCCTTTTTAGTAGTCAAATTCATAAAAATAGTATATAAATAGAATAAAAAATTCATTTACTAAAAAGGTAATATTTTGTTCAGTAACATAATAAGCTATAAATTTACATATATTATATTATATGTATAGAATTTACTTAAATAATACAATAAAAGATTACTATTTTATAATTTAAATATGGAAAGTAAAATATGATTTTTATAACTCAAACATGTATAAAAGAAGTTCTTTTTCACAATTGAAAAATTGCTAAAATGTATACTTTTTTTTATTTTCTTATACAATTAAATAATCTAAATAAAAATTTATTTATTTAAAATATTAACAATTAATTTTAATTTTTTTAAATCATTTATTAATAGTAAAATAATATTTTTAAACATAATTTTAATATAAAATTATTCTTATTAACAATTTTTCACTATTTTCTATAAAAAGTAAATTGAAAATAAAAGAATTTCTAACTGGATGATTTATAATTATTTTAATAATTTATAATTTAAATTTATTATTTCTTCTTAATAATACACTCATTTTACTCATTGTTTTGATATTTTAAATTATTATAAAAAACTTGAGATTTATTGCAATCTATACAATATATAAGCTAAAAAAGAATAAACAATATTTTAATTCATTATTATTAAAATAATTGTATTATTAATTAATCTAACAAATGCAATTTATAGTTTTATTAAAACAAATTTACAAAAATTATATAAGATAGTTTTTCAAAATATAGTATTAAAATTTTTTATTTTAATAATAATATTATCTAATATTTAATCTAATATAAATTATAAAATAGCTCCATATTAAAAAGAGATAATAAAAATAAAATATAAAAATAATAAATAATTTTTTAATATTGTATAATTATTAGAATTATGCCATTTGGACAAGAATTGTGAATGGAATTACTTATTACTATAAAATATTTTTTAATAATTATATAGTAAATAAAACTGATTATATATTCAAAAAACAAATTTGATAAAAATATATTTAATTTAATAAACTATTAAATTAATATCGATCATATTATATAAATAATAAATAAGTTTTTTTAAATTAAAAAAAATTTATTAATTAATTATATATTTTTAAAAAAAAGAAATTATAATTAAAATTAAAAAAAATCAATTTTAAATAATTTATTTTAAAACTAAAAAAATTATTATTAAAAAATATATATTTTTTATTTTATATTTTTTAGCAAATTAAAAAAAATAATACTGATAAACATTCTAGCTATTTTATTATTTCACATATTAATATACAGGAAAATATATGTAACCATATTTATATAAATACCTTTCTTGTATATGAAAGTAATAAAAACAAAATAATCATAATAATATTTTATAAAACAATAAAACACAAAAAGTCTTACATAATTATATAATTAGTTAAAATCATAAAATTTTAATTAATAAATATTATAAAAAAAAAATAGTATTTAATTTTAATAATATAATATAGTAATTGGTAACAATTTATTTTAATACAATTAAATATTTTTATTATATTTTTTATTCATTGAATTTTTTTAAAAAAATCTTATAAATTATATAAATAATATATATTATAATAAAAATAATAATAAAATTTTGAAATTTGCAATATTTTTATCTGATTTTATATTAAACAAAAATTATTTTATAATTATAATAAAAATATAATATTTTATTAAATTTTAACATTATATAATATAATTAAAAAATTTTTAATATATATAATTAATATTACTACTATTTTAATTATAATTAATAATAAGTAAAAAATATGAAAATTTCATAAATTATAATAAATAATATTAAATGAAAGATATAACAAGTTGAAAAAAAGTGGCAAAACTTAATTAGAAATTTTAATAGTAAAATAATAATAAAACATAATAAAACTATAAAAAAAAATAAAAAAAAATTAATAGTATTAAGGATTTCTGTGAATGGAGAAATGAATACCAGTATAAAAGGTGAACAGGTGGTTGCAAGATTGAAAAAAATATTACAGGCTATTTTGCAAAAAATATTTTTTTTTTAATTTTAATATATTTATAATCAAATAAATTAAATAATTGAATAATAATTAGTTATAAATTACTTATATAATTTTTTTTAATTTTTTTTAAAAAAAATTATTCTTAATTTAAAACTTTTTTTTAAAAAACAATTTATTTTTAATTAAAAATTTATTTATCAATCATAATGCCTATTGAATGGTTACTGTCACAAACTATTTAATTAGAGAAGAAATCATCAAACTGGATTTCAAAAAACTATATCAAATATTATTATTTAAATAAATTTATATTAAACATGAAAAAGTATTGTAATAAAAAATGTAAACTTTTTTATTAATATTTAAAAAAAAAAATATTATTAAATAATAAAAAAAAAATTCCCACCACCAGAAATGGATTTCTAACAGCACAAAAATCAAAGGTATTCACAAATATATAATAAATATAGTATATATATCCAGAAGCTAATAAAAATTAACTTATAATAAAATTTTTCCTAATAATATGATGTTTTATTGGTTTATTAAATATTTATATAATTAAAATTAATAAAAAATGGTATAGGTTATTTGTTAAAATTCGAATTAATCTTTTTTTATGAATTTATAAATTTGCCTATTTTATAAAATTGAAAATGTTCCAATCAAAATTCAAAACTGAGGGATAAATTCAAATATGTAAAATTTGCACGTGCACGTATTGGACAGTGATTCATATTGTATTTGCATATTGGTAAGACAAGTTACTGGAGTAAGCATAATCAGATTTAAGAAAATTTTTTTTTTTTTTTGATTTTTCGATTATCAAATTTATCTACAAAATTAAAAAAAATATGTTTTATGGACCAATAAAAGCTCGAAATCCAAGCTGTCCAAGTCGTTCCGAAGTCCAAGTTTAAGTTCAAGTCCGTCCTTAACGATTTCTACCAAAGTGTTGTTTCAATCTGTAATGAAAAATGTTGGAAAATTCTTAGACGTTCATTAATAATATGTGATTCACCATATAGAAATGAAATTATAGTTGGTAAAAGAACATACAATAATGGTGTTATTTATGAAAATTTAATAGAGATGAAATAAAAAGTTAGTAGTGACAAATAAAAGACACGAGCAATGGTTTCGATAAAGAAGAATTTTATGAATATAGTACCATAAGATCGATGAATCAAATGGTTTAATAATAATTTAATGATATTAGAATATATAGTTAAATTAAATATAGAAGAGATAATTAAAAATTTTAATTTTTTAAATACAAAAGGAAATTTACCAATTCCTACGATCGTCGATTTAATGAAATCTTTAATTAAGAAGAAAGAGATTATCACGGCTGAAGAATTATTTGGAAAATTGGGAAAAGAATATTATGATGTTGAGATATATAATAGTATGATGGATGGATATATTAAATGTGTTAAAGAAAATAAATTGGAAAAATCATTATATATTAGAAATGATGCAAAGAAATGGAGCTGTCTCTTATACACATCTAGATGTGTATAAGAGACAGATATAATAGTATGATGGATGGATATATTAAATGTGTTAAAGAAAATAAATTGGAAAAATCATTATATATTAGAAATGATGCAAAGAAATGGAGTTACCCCGTAAAAAAAGTCGATCTGTCTTTTATATTCCATTTTTTTTCCGTAAAAGGCTCATATTTCCGGAATTAGTAACGGAATTTATCGATTTATTTACATTTTCCGTGAATAGATCCGTGAAGGCTCATTTTTACGGAGTTTTTACAGAAATAACGGATAAAATTTTTTATAGGGTTAGACCAAATAAAAAAACATATTTTATTAAATTTATTTGGTAAATTAAAAGCTCAAACTGAAGCAGTATTTGGAGATATAATTGAAAATGGAATTGAACCTGATGAAAGAGGTTATCAAGGAGTAAACTTATATTATGCAAAAAATAATGATATTGGAAATGTTTTCATTATTTTGATCGTATGATCGATAAATAAGTCCCGAAAATTGCAATCGATTTATATAAGGAAATGGTTTATACTGCAAATATTAGACCTAATGGTGTAATTTTAACAACTTTAATGTGCGCTTGGACTCGACTTAAAAATCCTATAAAAATAATGATTTTGATTAAATATTTGAGGATATAAAAAAATATGAACCGGATTTAATCGCTTATACAACTTTAATTAATGCAAAATCAAACCAGGATGTTTATTCAGTGTACGTTTGATTTTTCGCATAATCACGTGTACATTACTGCCGTGTGTCACCAGTGTTACACTATATTTAGAATCATGATCGATCGATTTTTTTTTTTTTCCAAAGAAATTTAATTTTTTTATCTTTTTTTTTTTACTATATTTTTTTTTTTTTTCATGTTTCAGTTTTTTTTTTATCATGTCATCATCATTTTCACAACTTTTAAGAAATTCAAGATTATCAAAGTTTGATCCTAAATTATCACAAGTTTATAAAACTTATGGGGAATATCAAAAACTTGGTGATTATGGCGTAAAACGTAATTTACCAAATTATTTACGTACAAATGTTGTAACAATAAATGAAATAGATACTATTGAACATCAAACTCCTTATAATAGTGCTGAAACTTTAATTAGATTTAAAAGAAAATGGAAAGAAAATTTTTTAATTTCAAAAACTGCTGAACCTTTAAAATCAAATGAAATTTATCAAAGAAATTTTATTAATATTTCAAAATTATCATTAAAAGATTTTAAAAAATTATTAAAAAAAATTGAAAAAAGAAAATATGATTGGAATCAACTTTTAATAAATTCTACTTATGATTCAAATAATTGGTTGGAATTTTTAGGTTTAACTTTTACTACAAAATCTTCTAATTCAATTATTAAAGGTTTAACTTATTCTCATAATAATCCTGGTATTAATTTTGAAGTACAAGGTCGTGTACTTAATAAAGATTCTAATGGAATTTTTGCTATTGGTATAAGTGGTTTGGTTGGTAGTTTACATTACGGTAAAGCTCAAAGAAGATTGGTTCAAGTTAATCGTAAAAAATTGGATAATTTTTATCTTGAAAAAGTGGATTTTGATGATCAAGGTCGTCCAAATATTAGAGTTTCTCATTCTCCTATTCTTACTTATCAAAATGATTTTAATTTACTTGATAATTATCCTGGAAAAAATTCTTTATTCTTTGATTCTGCTACAAATCGTGTTAAAGATAATGAAAAGACTCAAGAAGAAATTCTTACTAGACTTCGTTCTTTATTAAAAACTAGTGGTGATTCTACAACTTCTAGTGATGTTGAACCTTCTTCAAAACCTAGTTTTCAACTTGTTTATGAAGAAATGTTTTCTTCTAATACTAAAGAAGAAGGTGGTGAAAAAAATAACAAGAATCTATTGGAGATTTTGAGTGAAAATAAAGAGTCAACAAAAAACAATTCTATTAAAGTAGAAGGAGGTGAAAAAAATGGCAAGAATCTTTTTGAGGTTTTGAGTGAAAATAAAGAGTCAACAAAAAACATGGAATTTAATGAAAAGAATCAAGTTACAAAAGATCTAACAGGCGATAAAAATTCTGATTAGAGATTAGGGATTAGGAAATAGGAATATAAGGTAACTATAAGTTATTTAGCTTATATTCTATTTCATCAGGAACAAAGAACTAACGTTCCATTTTTTTTATTGTAGGGTTGATGAATGTCTTGAAAGGTATTTAAAGAGAGAAGGAGAAGTTGTTTGTTCTGGCGTTTATAGAATTAGGTTATTTTGATCTTTCTTAACGCGTTTATAGAATTATCTTTCACGTGTTTATAGAATTAGGTTATTGCAATCTATACAATCTTAATATTTTAATTCATTATTATTAAATAATTGTATTATTAATTAATTTAACAAATGCAATTTATAATTTTATTAAAATAATTTACAAAAATTATATATGATAGTTTTTTTAAAATATAGTATTAAATTTTTTATTTTAATAATAATATTAATATTCAATCTAATATAAATTATAAATTAGCACCCATATTAAAAAAATAGATAATGATTTAAATATATAAAAATAAAATATAAAAATAATAAATAATTTTTTAATATTGTATAATTATTAGAATTATGCCATTTGGACAAGAATCATGAATGGGATCACTTATTACTATAAAATATTTTTTAATAATTATAAAATAATAAAACTGATTATATATTCAAAAAATGAATTTAATAAAAATATATTTAATTTAATAAATTATTAGATTAATATAGAATCTTTATTATATAAATAATAAATAAGTTTTTTTTAAATTATACTTTTTTTATTTATAATATTATAAAAAAAATTTATTAATTAATTATATATTTTAAAAAAAGAGAGCACCATTCATGAATCTAAGAGTTGGAAACCTATCTAAAATAATGAAAAACAAAATTGTTAGGTTAATGTTTTGTTAAAATAAAGTTTAAGAATGTGAAAAAAAAAATACCATAATCTGTACATCCAAAAACCTAAAGTAACTGTTTAAAAAATTGAAACATTAGTAAACATTCCATTAAAGAATAATTAAAAAATCACTTTCCTGCCAAATTTCCATATATCCAAATATTTGAAAACTATAAAAATAAATAAATGAAATGTTAGTGAATGTTTTGTCAAAAGAAATAATAAATAGTAAAAAAAAACTTTACCTATTAAATTTTCCATATGTCTAAATATTGTATTTCATCTACAAAAAGAAAAAAAAGAAACTTTAATTGTTTTTTTAAAAAGTAAATAGTTTTTTTTTAATTAACATAAAAAACTGCTAAAAAATGATCTACTTACCAAATTTTTTATGCATCTAAACATTTAAAAAATACTTAAAAAAAAGAAAAAAATGAGCATTAATAAACTTCATTAAAAGAAATAACGTGTTTAAAAAGATTCAAAGCAGTCACTAAAAAAAAGTAAAAGAAAAAAAATAGGAAAAAAAAACAAGAAAAAGAATAAGAAAAACAAAAGAAAAAAAAGAATAAAAAGAAAAGGGAAAAATGAACGGAAAAAAGTGGAAGAAAGAAAATGAAAAAAAGGAAATTATAAAAGGAAAAAGAAAGCTAATGAAAAATATTAAACTTAAAAAAGCTTATTTATTAAATTGCAATTTGCAAATCATTATTAATATTAGCTAAATAATTTAAAAATAAGCTATTAGTTCTCTTCTTTTTATGTATATTCTTTTTATATTATTTTTTATCTTCTTAACTTTTTTTTAAATTTTTTTTTTGTTTTTCAAATTAAAACTTTTTTTAATTATTTCTTTTAATTTTTTTTAAAAAGTTTTGATCGAACTGTTAAATTTTTTTTGAAAAACTTTAAAATTTTTAATATAAGATTAAAGATCATAAACTTTCTTACCAGCTGACAAAATGTATGAAATTTTTTTTAAACTACAAAAAAAGCCTTACTAAAGTTATCTTTAATATAGAACTAGTAATATATTATCTTGGCTATAAAGTTTGTAATGTAATTAAATTTGAAGAAGCATATTAATACTATTTTAAAATATTATTACTATTCTATATTTTTTTTTTAATTTATTTGATTTTTTAAAAAATTAACAATTTTTTTTAATTACAATATATATATTTATAAACTTATTAATAAAGAAATAAAATTCAAATATAAAGTATATGAAGAAACTAAAACTACGTTAATATAATTAACTTATATACCATTCATTATTTAATAAATAAATTCTATATATATACTATTAATTAGTTATTTTCCTATGCAAGTAAATTATATGTAAAATAAATCATTTTAAATATAACAGTCCTTAAAAACTTCCAAAAAAATTAATAATTAAAATTTATATTTATATAATAATTTTAAAATTTTAATTTTAAATTTCATTTAATAGGAAATTATTGTATAGAAATTTTTCTAAAATAAAATTTATTTTAATAAATTTAAATTTTTTTTTTAGTTGCAACATATTTAAAACTTTATTAATAGATAAGAAATGTTAATCGTATTAAATTTATAAATTTAAAAATATTTAAATATTAAATATAAATTATTATATTAAAATCATTAAATATAAAATATTAAATTAATTTGTAATTTAAAAATTAATTGCAAAAAATTTGCAAAAAATGGAATTTAATATAATATTAATTAAAAATAAAAATAAAATAAAAAAATTATTTTAAAAATACTAATAAATATTTAAACTTTAAAATATTTGATTTCAAAATAATTGATTTAACAAATATTGAAGAATTTGATAAATATGATATCAAAGGTTATTAAAAAGAATTAATAACTAAGTTTTTTTTGTAATTTCTTTTTAATTTGTAACTAATTTCAATTATACTTAAAGAAAGATATGATAATTAATACTAATGCAGTAATGCTTCAAAAATTTCTACAAGTAAATCAAGAAATAGTAGACATCAACAGTAAAAAAAAAACTTATAAAAAAAAGAAACAGAATAGTTTAATATATTTTTAATAATACAATATATATATTAAATGAATTTTAATTATATAAAAAAATATTATTTAAAAATAAAAGATTGGATATCAGAAAAAAAAATTTGTATTGAAATTAATAAATTATATTAAAATATGGTTTTATTATAATTAATATTTATATATTTTAAATGAAAATAATTTTAATATAAAACTATTATTATTTTTAAAAATTATTTTTAAAGGAAGCAGGTATTATTTATTAAAATTGCCAGTAGGTCAAATTACAAATAAAGGCAACTTATAATTAAATTATTTAAAAATAAAATATATATTATTTAAATTATTATTTATTAAAAGAATAGCTAATTCTTTAGGAAGAATAACATTTAATAAAATAACTGAAATAAGTATTTTTAAATTAAGATAAAACAAAAAATTCACAAAGAAATGTAATTATCACAAAACACTGCACTTAAGCATTTGAATATTAAATGTAAAATATTAGTTTAAAAAATTATAAATAAAATTATAATATATATATTAATAGAAATATATACCATTATTTTTGTATTAGAATTGAATAATTTGAAACAAGATATATTAAAAGTTTAAATATTTTATTATTAATTAATAAATTAAATTTCTTAATTGAAAAAATTGAAAAAAGTAGAACTGAAATTTAAGATTATAGATTATTTGATATTTTTTTCTAAAAATAAGATTATTTAAGAATTAATTAATAGAAAATTTTATATTATATTCTAGTGTATTATTGTAGTATATCATCTGTTAGTATAATTATGTAATTTGTATAAGAGATACTTGACAAAAACATTAAAGCAATCTAGAAATATATGCAATTAAATACTAATAATACGAAAGAAAAGAAATATAGTTTTATTAAAAAAAAGTAATCCTTAAATAAAATGTATAAAAATGTCTCTCATAATTTAAATCTCCTTGATTTAAAAGTTTACAAAGATTAAAATGTTCCCAAAAACGGTTTGGTGTTTGATTAAATGTTCGTCATAAAGATAAGATTACGTTATATCAATAATTTTTTTGCTCGAATATCACTTGAAAATCTCACGTTCAGATCACGTGACAATAGTTAAAGTTTTTGACTTGTAATAATATAAAAAACGGCCAGTATGCTGTTACCAGTCTTATTATTATTATTTTTTTTTAATAAAACAAAACATTGCATGAAATTAACAATTAGTGACAAATAGATAAATAGTTGTACATATGATAACTTTCAATAATCAAGGATGTTTACGTGCATACGTTATGTAAAGTTTAAAAGATTGGCAACAATTCCTTTACATGGTAAGCAAAAAAGCACCATGCGAAAGGCGTGAATATAAAAGAATGATTTCCTTATGTGTTCCAATTGATCGTGTATTCAAAAAAAAAAAAAAGTTCTATAATATATATTAGGCTGTTTTTTCAAGGAGGAAAAAAAGACTTGCACAACCAACAAATCAAGTTTTAATAGATGGAAGCTCATTAAAAAACGGATTTTCATGAGTGTCCCAAGCCACTTTAATTATAATAATCATCATTGCCTTATTAGAAAAAAAAAGATGTCATCATAAAAGGGATTCCGAATCCTTGTGATTTTAATAATATATGGTAATTCTTTGAAGTACAAACGCCTGAAACAAAAACAAGAAAAGTTATAATATATTTTTTTGGGCCCGTGTAATTGTACAATATATATAATAATTATCACATCAGTTATCATTCTTATATAAATAAGTTTTTATTACAATTCTTTTTTTTCTAAAAGTGTTCTTTTCAAAAAAAAAAAAAAAAAAAATTTTTTTTTAGTGAAGTAAACCTTTATTCGGATAGTGCCCTCTTTTTTCAACCCGATAAAAAAAAAAAAAAAACCTTTTTTTTACTAATAAAGTTTCTCCCTTCTTTTTTTGGGTTCAATATTCTCTTTCAGTATAAATAAATAGGACTGGGGAATTTTTTTTTCTTGCAGCAAAAAAAAAATTTTTTTTTTTCTTCAAAAATTTGGAACTTTCTTAGTTTTTTTATAGATTCAAGACAATAAAAAACTTTTTTTTAACAAAACAAAAGTATTATTAGTGTAACTTAAATAATTATTTGAAGAATTTAAAATAATTACAAATGTCTCCTCGTACGAACTCCCCCACACCACCATTTGGTCCGTACGACGATATCAATGACTTTGATTATCCTGCAGGACCTTCAGGACATCAAAATCCTTACTTCAATAATATCAGTCAAGCAAATTTTTATCCATCACAACAACAAAATAATATAACACCTAATGGAACAAATGTACTTAGAAATGATATTACAGAAACACCTTCAACTCGTAATAGTTCTAATAATGATGAGAATGGATTATTTAAAGCTCTTCTTCTTCGTCCTCTTAATATACCAAGAAAAGTTCTTTCATCTTCAGTAGTAAAAGGTGTTTCTTTAATGATATTATATTCATTTTGTATAACAAGTGTATGTTTTATATTTTTTGTTTCATACCTTTTAACGTTCTACGATGATGCCCGAAGATTATTCCGTACTTCACGTGTATGGGCACAATTGAGAAGTGGAGTTAGAGAGAGAATAGCTATGATGGGGGATGATTGGGAGGATTTCTTACAAAAATATTTTGATCAATCATGGGATGGCGTTGATGTTAATCGTAACGTTCATCTTGGTAATAATAACAATTCATCATCAGCAAATGATTCAAATTCTAAAAGACAAACTCCATTTAATAATGGTATTCCAAAAGATTTAGATTGGCTTAAAGGAGCATTATTAGATTTTATGACTGTTATTGCAGGTCAAGATGTAACCAGCAAATTTCAAGAATCTTTTCGTGGTCAACCACCAACTGCAACAGCTGGAGGTGATACTGGAAGAAAATAAATTTATATATATATGTATATCCTCTCTCATATTATTATATATTTATAACATTTAATTATAACATATTGAAGGTTGTAAATGATAATCTCGACTTTCATCATCCAAAAAAAAAAAAACTTTATATATAAATATTTTCTTTCATTGTGTATTTTTTTTTCAATTATTTTTTTTTTTTACAACTGTAGAATTTAATAAAGATACATTCTAAATGATTTTGATACTTTTTATATCAAGATATATACATATTTTTTTTCACACAAAAGATTTTTCATACAAAGATATTCTTCTCATTCCAATATATTTTTCATACAAAGATATTCTTTTTCATTCACAGTGAAAATAAAAATCATAAAAAATTTGTAGGTGCATTTAAATATTGTTTCCTTCAATGACCAATGTATATATATGCTGATAAAAAAAAAATAGAATTTATATATTTTCAAAACGTATTTACTATTTAACGTATTCAAACATTAATTTTATCAATCAAAAATTTGTTTTCAATCATCTATCTATTTGATTTATTATTGTATTTCATTTAAGTGCGCATTTATTTACTGTGTTTATTTTATTGTATTGTTATTGATTATTATTGTCAATTTTAAGGATGATTGGGCGATTACCCGGACGAATGAACGTGCAAAACGTTTAACCGTCAAAAATTTCGAAAAAAAAAAAAAACTTACGATTAAAAAAAAAGATTTTTTTTTGGGGGGGATAATAAAAAAAAAAAAATTTTTTTCTCCTTATTTGTTTAATCAAAACAAAAAAAAAGCCATAAACAATTTTTTTATTATTATTTTTTTTTTTTTTCAAACAATTAGAATTTTCACATGAATAATATCATCATGATCGTGATATACGTATGTTATTTATTTCTTTTACTTACTTTTTCGTTTAATTTGTAAAACTTTTTTAAACTTTTTTAGGAAATACAAAATGAAAAAAAGTATTTATTTGGGTAAAGGGATTAACTATAAAAGTCAAAGACCGTTATAAATAGGTTTATCCAATAAAATAAAATGATTTTGATCAATTGGGAGAGAATCTTTTTGATTATAATATCGATCGATGCAGAATAATATCGATCGAACCTTATAATCCAACATTCTAACAATAATTTAAAAAGTTACACAAATGTTTTGACAAAAAAAAAAAATTTTCAATCAAATTACTAATTATATTCAAATAATTATATTCTAATAATCATACTCCAAGATATTTAGTCCACCATTCTTCAAACCCGACACATTTTGTATCAATACCCAATTCTTCAAGTCTCTTGGTTGATAAATGACTATCAAAAGGTTGTTTCGCTATAAAAAAAAAATAGTATAATAACAATATAGTATTAATAATTATATTATTTAGACAAATAATAAATTATCGATAACTTACCTGCAGCTGAAGGCGGTTGTGAATCAAGCGGAATTAAATGGTCACTTGAACAATTCAATATTTTAGCAAAAGTTTCTAAAAAAAAATAAAAAAAAATATTAAAGGAATGAATAAGTAAAAAAAAAAGATTTTATAATAATACTAATTCATATATATATATATATTTAAGGACTTACTACATATTTCATATTTTGTAAACATTTCATTTGCGGTAAAATGAAATATTCCTTTTATTGGAACATTTTGTTCAACACTTTTCACTATAATAAAATAAATTATTATTTTTACTAAAAGTAAATTTTAGAGAGAATAAAAAGGATCGATTTAATTAAATACCTGTAAGATCTTTAATTACTCTAGCGACATCTTCGACTAAATTAATTTAAGTTCAAGATTTTGAATTCAAAAATTCATTATATATAAAAAAAAGAAATATTATTATTATAAAAGGCAGGTATATTTACCATTTGTAGGATATCTTTTGGAAATATTATTTATTTCAGTCTTCTTTGATGAATCCTAAAATAAAAATCCAATATTAATAAATATTTAATTGAAGCAAATAATGCGATTCATCTGATTTTTATAGATTCTGGTGCTTCAAAAATCGTAGCCGACCATTACAAAATCTTTTCACGCACAAATCCAATTAATATCAACATTACCTTTACAGAATCAATCAATATATTCGCAGCTGATTCAGCGGGAGATTCGGCTTCACCGTATCTAAGTATACGATTCAGATTAAAAATTTCTCATTTTCAAAAAATTGGTTAAAATACTTACAATAGAGGTATTCTTAAGATTATACTATCGGGATTAATTTTTTGTATGGCTAATTCTCCTTGATATTTTGTATTTCCTAAATTAACAATAAATTAAAGTCAACCAAAAATTCGAAATACTCTTTATATCTATCCATCCCATCAGTTTGGTAAATACATTTACCATATAGATTTATTGGATTAGGTGTATCATCAACTTCATAAGGAGGATTTTTTCCATCGAATACATAATCCGTTGAAATATAAGTTAATGAAAATTTGTATTTTAATGATAATTTAGCAAGGTGTTCCGTTGTATTTACGTTTAACTATCAATCAAATTTATTATTAATGTAAAATAATGAAAATAATGTAAAATATTAAGATATCCTTTGTAAATGCATTTAGCATTCATATAACTATTGTCCCAAAAGATTATAACTTACCTCATAAGCTAATTCTTGATTTTTTTCTACTACATCAGGTTTTCTTTCGGCAGCACTATGAATAATTACTTTTTTTTTTAAAAAAAAAAAATAAATTGAATTTTTTATTTTAACCAAAAAGATTTTATTTATTTATTCAGTTACTTTATAAAAAGGAGATTTACCATCAGGTTTAATTTCTTCAATGAATGATTCAACAGCTGCTTTATCAGTTAAATCCAACTTTATTAAAAGAAGATAAAAAATTTACAATCAGTTAAAAATATAAGATAATTTTTTAAGAAATTTGAAGAAATTTGAAGAAAATTTGAAAATTGATCATAATTGATCATGATAAGAATAACCTGTTTTAAATCATTTTTTACTCTGGTTTTTGCAAGTCCAATAACTATATAAGATTTTTTAAATAAAAATAAATTATGATTATTACAGAAATCATTTAAAATAATTGAAATGAATGAATGAAATTTGAAAAAAAAAAAAATTGGAAAATCAAAAATTTAAAAAACTTTATAATATAAGTTATAATCTTATAATCTTTGATAAAAAATACCTTCATAATTTGAATTTGTTTCCTTAAAAGTTTTGTAAACAGCACGTCCTAATAAACCAGAAGCTCCCGTTATAATAACTTTCATTTTAAATGGAAAGAGAGAAAAAAAAAAGTTGATCGTTTTTTTTAGTATATCATTTTTATATTTAATCGACGTAGCACAAAGTTGCTGATTATCAATTATCATGTGTATTCAATTCATCAACCGATCGGCGTTACGCCTGGTGCTAAGTTTTGCCAAAATTTGATATTTGGCCAAAATTATTATAGTGTATACTCTTATAGAGATCGGGGTACTCATAACTACCATATGTGAATAATATAAATAAATAAAAATTTAAATATTGTACAATACAACAACAGATAATGGGATAAAATTTATCCACTATCGAATTAAATCATTCCGATAACCGATTTTTATATACAGTAGTATCGAGGATATTGATGAATTGGAGAATCAAGATTCTGTATTTCCAAATGATTTACTGTTGAACGTCCGTAGAAAATAGTTATTTAATACTGTGTATATATACTTGATGGAATCAATAAATTACCAAGAATCGCCATTCACCACTATACAATAAAAGGGCCGAATCACACTGCACAACATATCTCGAAATACAGTAACTGGTTTAGAAATTGTATATACTGTACCTCGGTTACAACTTCCATCCTGATAATACTTAAAACTAATATATATGAAATATCATTTTCATAAGAAGCTTTTCCTTTGAGTAAACCAATAATATTCAATTACATAATATATTGATTTTTGACCAATAAAAATGCTTTTGTATTAACCCTCCCCTAAAATATTACTTAATATCTATTAACTATTGTCACTACCTTTATTATACGGCATAAATCAACTGCTACTGTACGTATTATAGATTGAGATATTCTTAAGGGGGGGGGGATAACTTAATTAACTTATGCAGTGCGGTACGGTATGTATTCTAGAATCGAAATATGACCGATTCAATATAAACATTCAAAATTTGTGAATCGATATCAATTAATTTCATTTTCAATAGTTAGCTTGTGAATAATTAAAAAGTAACATGAACTAGAACGCAAAAAATATAAACTTTGGTTACATTTGTAATAGAATTAATAATGTTTCGTTCGATCATGCAAACTAATATTCTTTTTCGATTTTTCTTTGTAAAATCACAAGAAGACCTTGTAATACATAATCCATTCTGAAATTACATCATTACACATTTACACTTTTGTACGCACATTAAACCAATTATATGATTTTTTCATATATTAACCGCAAACAGATAAAGGTCAAGCTTATATTCTTTTAGTTAGATGCTATTATCAAGATAGATCATTCAAAAAAAAAAAAAAAATTGTTTATTCGTTTACATGTTATCTGATATGTTACCTAATAATTAAATTTATTACCCATAAATTCGATTATCAAGATGGTTGTATACCAATAATAGGATCGCTGAATACTCTGAATCCTCGATTTCTGGAATCACAGATGAGAGCAGACAAAGATAACATTGTTTTTCTTGACCTAATACAAAACTTAATCCTCTTTGTCTTTGCATTTTGCATATAAACACATTGTGTTACAAAATATTACACGTTAAATTGTCTTTAACGAATGGATTAATGTGCGTAGAAGCATGATAGAGTAAATAAAGCATGATTACACTCAAATCAAACATGGAACAATTAAAACAATTGAAAAAAAAATTTTTAACAAATTTAATAAAATTTACGTTTCTTTTATAGAAAGTAAAGAGTTGTTTAATAAATTACCGTAATTAAAAATTATTATAATTAGCTAAAAAAAAAAACCCAAATATTCTATAAAAATGTATTCTACAAAATCAAAGAGATACAATAATAGATACAAATGAAATAATAAACACCCCAGGTGCAATCACTATATATATATATATAATTATTTTTATAATAAATTATTTTTTTTAATTAAAGATTAAGAATAAAACCATTCCAATCATGAAAGATAATCCGAGGACCATATTATTTTCATTAATATTATTTGAAATGGCAGAGGCTGTTTGATTTCCAGATCCTCCAACAAGATTACTACTAGAGCCCAATATAGAATTACCTTTATCATCACATTTATAAGCAGTTTTATATTGAGATGCTTGATTATTGAGGTCAGTAATAAGTTTTTGATCAACGCAAACAGCGCTACATTCATTATCAAAAACTGATGCCATACTATTGGCAAATAAACATAAACAACTGGCAACTTTTGGTGAATTAGGTGATTTATTAAATGCCGTAAATTCATCCTTCGATATTCCCTTACAAGCTGGTAATTCTGATCTCTTATTAGTCCAACAATCATTACATTGTTTTGCTAAATTTTGGTCTGGAGCTGGAACTGGAGCTGGAGCTGGAGCTGGAGCTGGAACTGGTGGAGCTGGTGGAGGTGGTGGAGCTGCGGCAGCTGGGGGAGCTGGAGCTTTAGCAGCTTTAGGGTCAACCTTTGCCTTTGCACCCTTTGCATCTTTTGCGCCCTTTGCACCCTTTGCATCTTTTGCATTCTTTGCATCATCTTCCTTTGCTTTTCCTTTAGCTGGAGCTTTAGTATTGGCTTTTGCGGGTTCTTTGGTTTTTTTAGCATCTGCTTCCTTAGCAGGGGCTTTTGCGGGAGCGGGAGCGGGAGCAGGAACAGCTGGTGCAGGTGCTTGACCAACAACAAATGATATCAAAAATAATAACGTTATTAACGTTAATATTGAAGAGAGAGGTCCATTAAATAATTTTCTTCTTCCCATATTTTAATTTTTTTTTTTAAAGGTAATTATTAAAGGATTTTTATTTTTAAAATTACGGTAATAAGTGAATGAATGAATGGATGATTTTAATTAAGAAATTTAATCTTGAATAACATCAAGAAAAAATTTTTTAATAGAGGATAGAAAGAAAGGAAGGAAGGAAGGAAAAAAAAATAAAGAGAGGTAGGGATAAGGAAATGGGAGAGATAATTATTTCACAAAAAAAAATCCAAAAAAAAAATTCGGTTTTCATTTTATATGAAATAAACAACCGAAAATGCACATGAACGAATTTGAAATACGACATACAAATGTACGACAGTTACAGAATACAGATTTAATGAAATAATATACATACTTACAATAATACACATACAATATTATTCATTAGGAATTTTTTAATTAAAATAAAATTTACGTTTTCGTAAACAATGTAACAATTAAACCCAACCAATACATAAAGATTATTTATTTTACTTTTTTATTTTGATGTAACCTTTTTTATTGCCTCTTTTTTTTTTTTAATGTAACCTTCTTTTTTTAAATTTATTATTTTTCTTTAGAAAGAATATTTTTCAAAGAAAACATCATCATACATTAAAAAGGTTTAATGCATTACTTACTTTGAATCATTTCTTTTTTATGAAAAAAATAAAAAGGTGGGAGAAAATTCTTATCTTTTTTATGTTGTGTAAAAATGTGATCTTATGGATTGTTACACGGGTTTAATTAGCTACTACGATATAAGGAAAGTAATTTAATAAGTACCGTCCGTTTACAAATCAGTAGAAAAATTGAATCACATAACGTTGTACCAAATGTTAAGGTCGATCAATATTATTAACATTGGTTGAAATCCTTTTTGTTTTGTAAAACGAGTTATATTCAGCCTATTTATCTTTGTTATTCATAACTGATAATATTAATATGAAATAAATTTTCCGTTAAAATTCAAAATCTTAAACAAATATTACAAATATGAAAATCTATTATATTTTTGATCACAAAAATAAATATACAATAAATAGTATCCAATTTGTTTTATTATTAACAAAAATTCACTTCTTTAATTATCGAAATTGTATACTCATAATTAAGGTATATCATACGAACGGCAAAAAAATTATCAGTTATGCGAGTTCGAAGCAAATTAATGAGTAGCATTGAAAGTTACGTGCAAGTATTATTATGATGATTTTATTCATTTGTTCAGAACTTCAGAAGTCAAAAACTTTATTTTTGAGGAAGTATTAGATATATTATGTTCTGTCGTCGTACATAATTTTTAACTAGCGTATCGTACTACAATTACTTCTTAATATACATTTAACAGGGTCTTCAATATATTAGTATACTAAGATTTTCTTACATTTCATATGCTAATTATTTATAATGCATTATATTTTGAGATTATTAGTTAGATCTCTAAGAATGATAGGCGATCCTGCATTTTTTTAAAAAAAATTCTCATCCCTTTTTTTAAAAAAATTTAAGCTCGCATAATTTATATAGGTATTATAACGGAGTACTACCTCGTTCACCATATCCCCTAAAAAAGCGAGTTAATGTAGGCCCAAATTAAAGCTTTGTAATTCTCACATAAATTAGTTTGCTTTAAAATTCTCGACCGTTCTTTGAAAGATAAAGTTCAGAGATCACATAAGGTAAGTGTTGGATAAATTGATAAAAAACAATCTTTTAGTTTAGTGAGTGTTCCTGAGGGTTATTAAAAAGCACACAATCATCGTCAGTTAACGATTCTCCTCTACAAGAATTTTGTTTAACAATCCCCCCTCCCCTCTCAAAAATTCCAAGTTTATATAACATCAAAAAAAGAAAAAGTCTTTGATTTTTTTTGTTTTTTACTCCTCTTCCCTCATATTTTCAAAATTTGATAGTTAATAATAGTTTTAAAAAATTTTGAAAATTATTTTTGGCACCCCCCCTCTTTTTTCAATAAAAATTCGTGTTAAACAGAAAATCCAATTGGTATGGCCTCAACGTATCAACTCCTTCTCTCCCTGGTCCATATTATTGATAGGCGATCCTGCATTTTTTTAAAAAAAATTCTCATCCCTTTTTTTTAAAAAAATTAAGCTTGCATAATTTATATAGGTATTATAATAAGAAAGTCACGGAGTACTACCTCGTTTATCCCTGCAAAAAGTTAGTTAATGTTGGCCCAAATTAAAGCTTTATAATTCCCATATAAATTAGTTTGCTTTAAAAATTCATCATAAAGCGATTGTTCTTCGAAAGATAAAGTACATAAAGTGAATGTTAGAAAAAAAGAGGCCAAAATTGATAATAAAGCAACCTTTTAGTTTGGTGAGTATCTCTGAGAAAGGTTATTAAAAATCGCTTACGATTCTCTACAAGAATTTTGGAAATCAAATTAATTTAACGCATCAATAATGTGCCGTTCCGGATTCCAATCAGTCAGTCATCATTCTATTAAACTTCACATAAAAAAAGTTATCACGTAGTTTTAATTATTTTAACGATAAATTTTATTTAATCATGATAATACATCATAAAATTAACCTTAATAATAAATATTGCTAATAAATAACCTATAAAATTCTCCTTATATAAAAATATCAAAATAAAATATAGTATAATGATAGGAAAAATAGATGTGTAGAATAGCATATAGTATACTGTATGTTATATTACTTAAATCAGAAAGTGTTACCCACGAAAGTTATTGAAATTGATAAATGAACCATTTACATCAAGAAAATTTTGTTGTTGTTGTTGAAATTGAGTGTGCGAATTATCGTTAGTGATATTTGAGTAAGTATGCTCCTGTTGAAATTGATTTTGCGTATTTAAACTAGTTGAATTTGTGGTAGGCGTAGTAGGTATAACGACAATTACGAATCCCGGAATCTCAAATCTAAATGTTCCGGGATTATTAAAATTTAGCGATGGAGTATTAACGTTATGATTGGAATTATATGGCGTATAGGATGAATTTGATGAGTTTGCAGCAGGATTAGATTGTATAGTAGATGTTGAAATAACACGTTCATTATTTATAGAAGGGGTCATGGATTGTCGTTCATAATTATTAGTTGCGTAAGATACTGGAATGCCATAAGAAATATTTAAGTTGTTATTAAGAGTATTTGATGAATGTTGTTCTATTTGCATAACATTTGTTTGTGGTAAATCACTAGAATAAATATTAAACCCACTATTATCAATAATAAATCTATCTTGGATATTATTGATATTATTATTTAAAGGGGATTCATCATAATAAATAAGAAAATTTTTAAAAGAATAGAAACCAATTTTTTTTGTTGAATAAAGCCCCTTTTATACAGTATCTGTAGTTTTTATAGCCGCGAATTCATCTCATTAGGAACCGACAAAAGGAACTCACATACTGTAACAATATTAGGTACAATGTGTAACATTTGAGAGATCAACCTTAAAAGATTTGTAATTCAGAAATTCATACAATTCATACATGAAAAATATTATAAACAAATTAGAATTGATAAACCTTATTTAGCAAGACAACGAAATCATGTGCATATCTCGCTACATCTACTTTATATATCATTATAGAAATTTAATATTTTTCCTTCTACGACTGTTATATCATGATTTTTCAATATTATATATATATACAACGCGGAATTTCTTTTCTTTCTCCGAGCGTCCTCCTTATCCCCAATTTGATTCATTATTTGTTCTAAAATACTAGGAAACGGGAACCGTTGTAAGTCCGGAGCGAAGTATAATAAATAAAGATGTAGCGATATTCTACTAATTAGCAGCATAACGCCTTGGAATTCCGGTAATTTTCTGCTGATTAGCAGCATAACGACTTGGAATTCCTGGACAGAGAAACTCATGTGATTGAAAATTTACACGTTATTTCCATAGATCATCATAGTGCGTAGACATATATAGTCCTTCGCTTCGCTCCGGACAATAATTTCTATATTCATAAAGAATATCTAATGTCTGAGTTTGATTATTAAGTATTTTTATGAATAGTATTATAAAAGAATGAGCAGAACAATTCCTATATATTCGATAGATCGAAATTATTTTCCGTAAAAAGATCGAATGTTTCATCACTTAATAATTTTGTACCAAATATTAATTTTACGCCTATGTAGTAAATCAACATTACGTAAGGAAGGACGACGCAAAACATCACCAATAACAGTTGTACTCAATTTATTAACAATATAATTTCGACATTATCTCACGCGTGTATTTTAAAAAAAATGAAAAATGATTGTCATTATCTGTTATAGATAGATTAACGTACTGCATGCAGTATTTACAATATTTATTCGCTGTTCTCCGTAACCAACCAAGTCATACCAACTTAAAAAGATCAATAAAATTTCACAATTATAAATGGTTAATGGGTATATTCGCATAAATCGGCGCAGCATTGTTGTTATTTATAACAAAAATACTGCGCCAATACATATCAAAAATCGATAAATGAATAAAGCTAAGTTGCCAATTATTTCCGTAACCATTTTTTGGAGGATAGTATATTTAGTATTATCTTCATAGGTGAGTTTTGGACAGGGTGGAGAAGATAAAATTTTATTAATATTAGGTCTTTTATAGTTAAAATTTTGATTCACGGCCTTATTTATAAATATGGTATATAATACACATTTACTTTTTGCCAGCCAAAGTAATTTTACGTGTACATTTGATTAGACATGACGGTAGTTTTTCAAATAATCATTTTCTTTATTGTAGTAATCAGCCCGATCTTTTGTTTTTATACTCTTCAATAAATGTCTTCAGTAAGGTAAACTACAGCGACGTCATATAATCTCATTTTATTTGTCACACTTGTTGACTTACATTCACGAAGAGTTTAATCATTTAAAATCATTTGAAAATCGAAGGAAATATCAGGATTAAATTAATTTTTAAGAAAAAGCTTACTATTTTGAATATAAATGTGGCTGAATTAAGTAAAAGTCTGTGAATTCGACTTTCTCTCGATCAATATTGTTATTAACATCTTTTTCCAAGAACTTATAACATGTTGTTGACAAGTCAATAATTATTTATAAAAGGTTTTCAAGCTTGGAATTATTAAGAAGAAGACTGCAGTGAGATATAAAGTTGTGATTGTTAAAGTTTCCGTACTGGGTGGACGCGCAGTTTTGCCCCTTGAAAATAGATGCTATTATTCCTTTTAGAAGTTCATTTTCACAATTGACAAAGTATGAACAGTTATTTTGCTGCTGTTATGTTATTGGGTTTGATATTTACAATTTTTTTTATATTTCAAGCACGCACAATACAAACAACTGATAACTGATGAAATCTCATACTCGAAATGGACCGAGTAAGTGCATTTTTTTTTAATAAAACACTTCCAAGCCTTCATATAACGTTATATTAATCGAATGACTTTAAATGATATGGTTTCTTTTCCACAATTAATTGCATCAGCCACTTCCAAAACTACATTACCTGACGAAACAAGAGATCCTCTTCTTACTAAGATGGTAAGATCACCGCCTATTTAATTTTCCACATTAGCTCCGTTCTGAAGAGGTAGTCTCGTCTTGAATTCATGACAAACAAGGTTATTAGATAATAAAATTTTGCAATCTAAGTTCAATTAGTCATCGGGAACGACGTAATTATGAAGAACATCGTATAAAAAGAAAAAAGTTTAGTAAGTCAACCAAAAAAAAAAGATATTTGGTTAATCAAAAAGGAATCAAAAAAATGCAAAGACTTTTATCATAGGAAATCTGAAATGTATCACTATAATTTTTTATCATTTTATTAATTGAATATCTGTTTACATATTGAAAGAACTGTAAAATAAAGATAACTTACGTCTAACGCTAACAAAAAAAAAATGAAGTTTATATAATCTTTTAATGATCACAGAAATGAATTACAAATAGAAAAATATCGCGCTATTTCTGAGATAAAACAACACGAACAAACAAATACGAATCATTTAGAATCGATTCAATCAAAATCAACCTCAAGGAATTATAGATTTGATTAAGCTTCAATATAATAATTCAGATAAATTTCATATTTAATGTAATTATTATAATAACATTAACTACAAATCCATATAAAGATAATGTCTTTGAAATTGGAATTATAATGTTTAACTAGTTAAATAGTAGTATTAGAATGATGACATTATATTAATCTTCGCATTATAACTTATTTATTTTTTATAACTATGTACTGTACTGTACATTATTAAATATCGGATGACGTCACGTGAGAGACAGAAATTTACCGGAATTTATATCATATTTAATTCTTATCAACGTAGAAATTATATAATTTCGGTTGCAAATAGTCATTTTTTATGTTTTCTGAACAAACATTTAATTGTTGTGCAGCACGGAGTAACAATAATTGAAAAAGATAATTTTATTATGAAAAAACTAATACAGTATTATATCGTTAAAGTAATATTTTAATAATATTTGTTGATTATTAACAATTATTTATTTCTTAATTCAATATCGATTGAAAAATCTTTTATTTAATAATTATGACACCCTCAAAAACTCTCTCATATACTTGTTCTACAAGAAAAAAAAATGATTTTTCTACATTTCTTAATCTCGTTCCATACCTGCCCAACATCTCACTCACTATTACTTTGATATAAAAAGAAAATACGATAGGTACTCGGGTCTGTGCGACAGAGTGAATTTCCTAATTTCTATCCTTTTTTTCTTTTCACTTTAAAATTGTAAAATACAGGGTAATATAAAATTTTTTTCACGCAACAAACTACCAAAGCGCCCAATATAAGTAAAAACGGAATTAATATCCACCTAGGCAGCCCTAACTAGTACTTCGATCCTAGCGGTTTTATCCGGATTTTCATCCGGATTGAATTTCATTAAATTTCGCTGGCACTATGAGTTTGGCCAGAATTAGTATAAATTTTTGGGATAATAATACTTTAATGTTGGTTTAAATTATAGTCTGTTTAAATCTGAAATTCATAATCTTTCTCAGCCATAATCGTCACATGAAAATATTCAAAGTTTTCATCCGGATCGAAGCACTAGCCCTAACCTCGACTTTGGGTGATCGTTTGAAATCACAATTGATTTCATTAGGGATCATGTGGCATTTAATGCAATTGTCGTATATTGGATGATATGGACGAATGAAAGTATGACATACCAAGATTTAGTTCCAAATGAAAGATTGTGGTGGGGTGTGGACAGCATTCTCACTGCCTTGGAGAATTATGGCGAAATCACATTCAAAAGGCCAGTTGATTTGATCCAATTCACCATCTTAAACTTCAATCAAGTCTCGTAAATCGTAATTGAAAGGTTTCGTATTGAATTCTTGAAGAACGCGAGCAACTGAATCCGATCATCTGTATTGGCATTGTAGGAATTGAGGGTGTGAAGATAAGGAATTGCTTAAGAGATGGGGTCTTACAGAGGAATCTGCAAAAAACCTCCGTAATAGCGAATACAATGACACCGTTTGGGTTTGAAATATTTTCTACATTGACAAATTTTCCACATATAAAAACCAATGGAACGGTTATGAAATAAAATGCGGACCACGAATGTTTCACTATTATGGATATTATAAACAAACCATTCAGAAAGACTTTCAGAAATCGAGAATCACATATCATGAATGTTATTATATTATCGTGCGTGTTAACTTAAACGTTACTATGATATTGTTCAAACCTCAAGTTCATGGAATAATATCAAGAATGTGTTTTATAAAATGACATAATATTTAAGATTTCACTCCCGTTAGAAAATCAATAGTCAATAGGAACCATTTAAATTTATTTACGTGTAGAGTACATAATATTAGAAACGGAAACTGCGGAGTGAAATTAATTGTACAGTATTTGAAATCTGTTCTATTTTTCAAAATTTTCAAAATTTTTTTTCGCGAAATTCTTTTTAGTATCGATACCTTCGCTTCGTTCCGGACAATTAAATAATTAAAAGCTTGCTTTTTCAGTTTCACCATCTTTTCCGGTAACTCGAGTGCTATTTTCTCAGCTCAAAACCAACTGTATCTATTTTTAAATACTACATAACGCCCTATTAATAAAGGTTTATATTAAGTGGCAAAAAAATAATGATGCGAAATTATACAAGATTAAATGTCACACGAAATTCCAAAAAAAAAAAATCTTGTTTTTAATAAAAAATCGCTTATATCATTTAAACTTCCTATTAGGTTCAAAAGGTGTCATAATCATTAAAAATAGATTTTACTGCAGTATATAAAATGTGCGCAAAAATTTTTTTGCTCAGACTAACACAAAATCTAAAACTCCGTTTTTTTTCAGAAGAAAATTAAATATCGTCATGCAGTTCCATATGAATTTTACTATTGAAAGATTATGATCGTCGCAAGAGTCGGCTTTTATATTCAGATAACTTTAATTCTTATGAAAGTATTCCGGTAAAAACTTGATTTTTCTTCAGCCACTTTGCTAAACAAATATTTTCAAAAAATGAGGAGATAGTCTTAAGTTTTTTTTTAAAGAATTTTTAATGTAACGAAATTTTAATATCAATTATGGCTAATTAATATTGGTAAAAAATCACCCTAATTAAAGCTTTAATTTTACTTTTATTTTTTATTGGTAATAGATAATAAAGCTAATAAAAACTATCTGATAACCAAAAGTTTTTACAAATTTTAGTTAAAAAAGATCGTTTTTTTGTATTGTATGTTAAAATTTATTACTATATATAAGAATTTGAATGAAAAAAAAATACGTTTACTACAAATCAATTAATAAAAAAAAAATAATGTGTTTGACATCAAATTGAATCATTAGTCAGCGGAAATACAAAAATTCTATCGATAATAAATTTTCACTGGTTATAAAGCATACAAGTTATCTAACAGGAATTTTCCAAAAAGATTTCACGAGACGGATTTCAAAATCCGCCTACGAATCCTCCATAATAAGGAACGTAGTACAGTACCTACGCATTTTCCGCAGTTTCCTTTTCTTTTTATAATTTTCCAGAAGAATTTATGTCATTTCAATGCGTAATAATATCCTAATCAAGAAACTGGAACAATGTAAAATAATTATTAGTGTTCGTCAAATTTATATAAAGTGGTTTCGGTAGAATCGTTCTTTTTTTTTTTATTTTTTTTTTAAAAAAAAAAAATTATTTGTATTTATACAAATAGTTTCCTAGTTATAAAAATGAATGACGCTTCTTCGTATATTGTCCCCATGAATACTAATAACATAATCGAATCCAATAGAAATAGTATTACTGACAAACCGCATAATAATAAACCTATTACTAAGATAGAAATATCACCAGGTGGAAGGTATCTTGTTACTTATAGTCAAGAAGATCATTCAGTTGTCGGTTGGAATATCGAAGATGTAGATGAAGGACAACTTAAATCAAACGATAGTGTCAAAATAAATTATGAAATAAACCAAATATGTGTTTCTGATGATAAGAAACTTGCATATATTAATAATGACAGGACGCTTTTAAGTAAGTAGTTTCTATAAATATTAACTTAAAAATATTACCTGAAGAAAATCGATATTAAACATTAATCTTTATAATTAATTATATATTAGATATAATCGACATAAGAAATAATAATCAAATAAAAATCGATATGAGAAATTATTATCGTTTAAAATCTTTTATAGAATACTTCATCGACATAAGAAAATATTTTAAACCATATTATTGCACCTTTAATTCAAAAGGAGAATTTATTTTATTTGTTTTATATCGAGAAAGCCATCTTTATATTTATATTTATTCTACACAAAGTAACAATAACGATTTGAAGTGCAAAAGAATTTACGAGTTGCCCGAAGATTTTGAATTAACTGAATTAATTACAAGATATGACAAACTTTATTTATTTTCGAATGATTATGCCTATGAGTGGAATAGTATTACTGGAAATTTCATAAGAATGTTTTGGATGAAAACAAAGGACGCAAAGGACGTGAGAATTTCCAGTAATGGTATATTTATTTGTCTAAGAATCGAGGATGAAATTATTATTTATTCAATTGAATTAAGAATTCCTATCGCTACTTTGGATATAAACAATGGTATTGATTTTTTTAAAAAATTAAAACATTAATCTTATCATTTATACTAAATTAATCTTTATTTAGATATTCAACTATATAATTTTATGAAACATACCGGATCATGTCTTGTATTACTTCAATTATTTGATCGTATACCGAATAAAGGAATTTGGAAATCTATCATGGATTATTGTTGGAAAAAAAGTTTAGATCGTTTAAATATAGAAAATCCATTACCAAATAACATTCTAACTACAAATAACTATGGGTTTGGAATTCTAGATGGAAATGTTCAGAAGATTAAAGTTGAAAATGTGATATCAAAGATTAATTTTCCACTTCAAATTTCTGACGAAATTATTGATAACTGGTATGATTATTCCAATAATTATTATAGTCATTTTAGGATCAAGGAAGATTTCAAACTCTTAAATGCCCATTTATTCAGTCCTTATATGAATGCTATACGTAAATTATTTGTTGTTGCTTCATCAAATTACTATGTACAAAAACGTGAACTTGAATTTAACCAGTGGAAAATAAAAATTGATGATGAAGAAATTGAATTGCGAGTTCTCAAGGATAAGTGGTATCGAACTTCCACGAAATTTGATAGCGATTATTCAAACTTTGAAAAGTATTTAATTAGTAGCTCATTATTTGATAACGGTGATATCCTTATATTAACAACAATTGGTCTTTTTATTTATCATTTTAATGAAGATAACAAATCTATTTCCTTAAACTATTATTATCATATGTATTTAAAATATTTAAAATATATGGAGTATATGAATTTTATTCCTGGGTTGTTAGGATTAAAATTAAAACGTTACTATTACTATCATTATTATTATTATTATTATAAAAAATTAAAATTTTCAACTCCCACTTTACCTTTACTTAATTATGAGAGTTTTAAATTGAATGATGAATGGACTTCATATTTGATAGATAATAAGTCAAGTCTTTTGAAATATGGTGTTGAATTATTATCATTCTCAATTAAAGAACATAAATTTGAATTGATAGAAGATATTTATAAAAAATGTATAATTTATTTTAGACAAGATTTAAGAAACAATAGCAAGTTTTTAAGTATTATTACTTCTACAATGCCATTGTTGAATGAACATTTTCCTGAATATATCTTAAGATATTCATTAGAAACAGCCATGATTATAGATTCTCCTATTTATAGTTTAAAACATCGAAATATCAATTTACATCTTTATTCTTTTTTCAAACATCCTCCAAAAGTTAATTTGATTCATCCGCCTATTTTATGTGCAATATATACAATATATATAGACCGATTTATTTCTATGTTACCACCGATTCCATTAATAGTTCTTTATTATGTAACTTATGCGCTAGTTGTGATTTCAATACTTTTCTTAGCTCTTTTTATTTCTAATCATGCTCAAATTTTTTCCATTATTTTTTCAATTTCCACAATTATATTAATTTATTTTATTTATAAAATTTACTTAATACATTCAAGACCTTCAATACCAACAATTACTTTTATGATTTCATATATTAAGTTTGTTAATTATCCACGAGATTATAATTACATTTTTGATTTATTTTGGCCTAAACCTAGTCCATTTGTTAATATAATAAATAGAGATATCTACAAAACATGGAATGGGGAAGCATTAATTAATTTTAAGTGGAACGCCTACGGAAAGTATTATTATTTTATAATTTGTAATTTATTTATGGCTTTATTTTTGTGTTTTACTGCTGTCGCAACAATTCCTCAAGATTACCTTAATGAAAATTTAAAGAGGAACGTTTTAAAGACCTCAATTACTCTTGGATCTTTTCATCTTATTCAAGAAATTCGTCAATTTATCTATAATCCTAAAAAATGGTTTCTCAATTATTGGAATTTTTTTGGTAAGAATTAAATTAGTATACAATACATGACTTTGTTATGATATTATTAAATTTATTACATTCATATAGATTTGGGTGCATATTTAATTCCAACTGCCACTTCCATTTATTGGTTACATTCAAATAATGAAAACACTTCTTTGCTCTCATTTTCATGTCTTTTATTAGACATAAAATTTCTATTGTTTTTTAGAGCATTTGAATCATTTGGTATCTATTTCGCAATAATTGTTGGTGTTGCGAAACAATTGATTTCCTTTTTGGTCATTTTATTTATTATAATTATTAGTTTTGCTCATGCTTTTTTTGTCCTTTTAAAACCAAAACTTGCCTATGTCTTGGATCAACCTACAATTAATAATGATCCTAATAATCCTTGGAATTTGAATACAACGTATTATAATCAAATAAATGGAACAACTGCGCAGAACGCATCATTTATTCAAGCACCTGATGAGAATACCAACATGTTTACAGATTATGGAACCGCACTTTTTGCAATATATTTATTTCTTACAGGTATAATTCACATCTTTTAATTCTTTTATTTTCTTTTTTAAGTCTTGTTCAATCTAAATCATTTACTATTATTAATAGGTGATCCAAGTGCTTTATCAAATAAATGGGCGTATAAAGAACATCCTGCTCTTATCATATTAATTGTCTTATTTTCTTTTATGATTGTTGTATATCTTATGAATTTGTTTATTGGTTTGCTCAATAAAGCAATTGAAAAAGATAATAATAGAATCTCATATTTAATGCAAAAGGCAGAGGTATAATAATTTCATTTTTAATAAAATTATATTTTTTTTGTAAGAAGTACTCAATTTTTTCTTCTTGTAGATTCTAGTCGAAATTGAATTATTTTACTTACTTCCACATCAGAGACGTTGGGAAGCATGGTTTCCTGAAGTAATGTATGTCATTTATTTATTTTATTTATCTCTTTATTTGACAATTTTTTTTTTTACTAATATATAATTTTAACTTTAAGACATTATTACGCTGATGTTGTTAAGGCTCGAGAAAAAGTTAAAGAAATGATTAGTAAAGGTGAATGGAATATCAATGATTTTCCGGAATTGAAAAAAGACTTATTAGATAAACTCAATATTCAATATAACCCTGTTAATTCAGAAATTATTAGAAGAGATGCATAGATAATTCATTTTTTTTTTGCTTGGTTATATTAGATCTCTAAAGAAATCATTTTTTATCTTTTTTTATAATTAAATGACTTTTAGAATTAAAGAGTGTAACTTTTGTAATCATTTATAATAATTTGTTATTTTACTTATAAATTTTGCATTTTATATATAACTCATTTTTTTTGTCTAAATATTTTTCGCAAGTAATTTTAAATAGAATTATTCAAATTTACCGTATTTTGCGGTAAGTAAGCACCCCTGAAAGTAAGCACCCCTGGCCAGAATTATGGCGATTTTGGCCAAAATTATGAGGATCTTGGCCGGCATCAAGTGCAAAAAAAGGTGCTTATATACCGCAAAATACGGTATTTATAATCATTTTTAAATATAATTTAAAAAAAAAAGAATAAAAGGATTGAAAAGAAGATTCGATAAAAAATGTGATTTTCTAATACTGCGCCAAATTTCGCACGTGCCAACGAACACATGATTGACTACCAATAAAATTGTTGTGTTCATTTTTTAAATTTTGGTATCGATTCATCTTACAGATAAATTCTGTGATACTAATGAATTAAAATAATATTGAGCGTCCAAAAGAAGGATGTATTCATGTTATTGTTGAACATTTGTGAAAATTAAATCAAGGTTAGTATTTATTCTTGAAGCTTTGGGTATGATGCAGATTCTGATAGAGTTTTATGAACAGCAAAAAGAGAATAGTATAGAATTTCGGTCTATCAGATAATGCAAATTTGTGTGACAATTTACAATCATATTTTTCCAAAATTAAATTTATTTAATAAAATAATAAAGTTCTAACAAAAAGTTCAAAGATGACGTGATTCTAATTATTACATGTGGCGTAGTTATCCAATTCATAAAATTTTGTTAATTACTTTATTAATACTGAAAAGAAAATTATTACTAATATAATGTAAATATTGTAGTAATGACGGTAGATATAATATATATAATATAAATAATCGAAACAAATTGTCGTCCAATGAAAAACGCATTTGCTTACAAGATCCTCATTTATTTATTAATATCATATACGTAATGATTTTAAAGATAATAACTGATAAGATTAGCAATTACAAATTTTCCTTTTGAAATACTAATATAATACTAAGCGTCCTCATGAATTTAAAATTTTCATTTGCACTAAGTATAATAATTCACGCAATCACGCATAGTTTATCATTGAATTTTCAGACTGAAAATGTATGTCTTCTAAACTACTTCAACTATTTCAAAATTACATTACCTGATGAATCAACAAACAAATCAACAAGTAACACTATTGATTCTCTTCTTACTGAGTATCACCACCTATTTCGTTGAACGTGACTTCTAATCAAGTCTCATTACTCATTAGATTCAAGATCAACAAGGAAATTATGTTTGACTTTCTCGAATCATCTATATTGGCATTGAAGGAGGTGAAGGAGTCGGGTAAAGATAAGGAATTGCTTATGAGATGGGTCTTATGGAGGAATCCGCAAAAAACCTTCGTGATACGTACACAATGGTACAATTTGGACTCAATAAACTTTAAAATATTGGCTAATTGGATGGGTCCGCAATCTGTGGAAATCTTAGGGGTTTGAAAGTATTTTTTATAATACAAATTTTACACGCAACCAGTGGAACAATAACGAGAGGAGAGGTGGTCCACAAATGTTCGCATCCTCTTATGAAGATATTATAGAAATCGGAAGATACCTTGTTGAAAACCAATAAGAAAGTCAAAAATCGAAAGATTGGGAAGGTTTACTTGTTGAAAAAAAACAAGACTCTTGTGAGTGAAAATATATCAATTTTATATTTATATTTATCCTCTGATTGGTGGGAAGCAGATTTTGAAGGCCACCAAAAACATTAGTCGGTGAGCACAATGCATCATTTGATATGCTAGATGAAAGTAAAAAGAGAAGAAAAGAAATTTGTAAAACAAAGTAAACAAAAATGTCAAAACTAATTGGTTATAGCAAAGTACTTTTATTTATTTTTTTATTTAGACACGCGAATAATAATTTAATTCGCCAATAAAATTACATTAAGTAGTCACGTGATAAATTTTTTTTTTATATATAAATTGAAATTTGACGTGAACCAAAAAACTAATTTATGTGGCCTAAGTTTCTTTACTTTTTATATATCATGTTTTAACAAGCAGATCTTCGAGCAGCACGCGCAAGCCAGCCGAAAAATTTTATGTGATAATTAAGCTTAATGTTGATACAATTTCGCTTTATTTGAAAATAAATAGTTTCTTTAAAAAATATTTAATTCCATTTTTATGACTTGATTAGGATGTTAAAATACAAAATTGAGGAAAATTTCTCAATAATATATATTATGCATGTGATATAGTATTGTTCGCCGACAGGAAAATTTACCAGCCAATGAAGTACTAGTTAAGTTCTAATAGATAATATATGGATTTATTGTTGAATTCCATGAACGGTCTCATCAATTCCTTTATTACAAAATAATAAGGCACTTTTACAATAAAAACTATTACAAAGATTTTATTTAATAAACAATCAATATTTCCAATGGTTTATTGAGAATGTAATAAAGATTATTTAAATATACAAAGAAATCTTTCTTTTTGTATAGTACTGTAATAGTTGAAACGTACTTAAACACAAAAAATTCATTTAATAAGGAAACTGAAATAAATGTAGAACAATGTAAATAATCAACAGTGTTATTTATTATTAGTCAAGGTGTTTTCAGTAGAATAGTTATTTGTAACCCATACTAGTTTCTATAAAATGTAGCATGATAATCATTTTAATTATTCATTATCCAATGGAAGTATATCTTTCTATTTTACTTAATATATATGTTATTATTTATGCAACAAAATAGGATCATGTCGTTTTTAACATACTGATATTTTTAGATTGCATAAATATCTTGATATTTTTGGCACATTACGTCAATATCACATATATTAATCTTTAAATAAGCTTATATAGTTTATTTATTTATTTTTTTATATGGAACATGATCTTGGACGTCTGCATAATAACACCTTGACCCTTATTGTAAAATATATCATGTTGGATCAAGCCACAGGTCAAGAGCGATACATTTGCTTCAATAATTGTGTTATTATGCAGACGTTCAAAGATCATACTTCATAGTTCATATAAATAAACTCAATGAGTTACTAAATAGAAATTTATGCAATAATAATATTTCGTACCTTAGTCTAATGTACAAACTGTATTATCGTACGGTTAATGCAGATCATGCTTTATATAGAGTTATTATTGTTCAGTCGAGATTTTAATAATCGATGATATTGAAATCAGTGATAGTAGCATTAATTCTTATTGGTCATCGCAGTTGCTTTTGATTCAAAGGGAGAACTTGATTTAATTGTTTTATTCATATTTATTATATTTATTCTACACAAATTAATAATAATAACGAATTGAATTTACAAGATGACCAAAAAATTTTGATTTTCGATAAATACGTTATTTTTAATTCGAATCTGTATTATAATGAATAATCATCAATAGTTTGAAACAAAGGACGTGAAAATTTCCCAATAATTATAAATTTATTTGTAAAAACACTTAGAAATGAGAATTTAATACATTTGGTGGTAAAACGTGTGGGCTTATAATAAACATTTTCATTTATAACTTAGTAAGTTTTAATATTATTATGACCTGTACAATTTTCTTTGCAACTATTCAATTCTATTAGTAAACTTTAATTAATAGTTTTACATTCAATATAATCTCCCTTAACGTGACTAACATTTCTTTAATTAAATCTGAAGTTTTCTTCCTATTTTAATCTGATATTTTTTTTAAATAAAAGATATTTAGAAATATACCATTCCGCAACCAGACCAAAAAAAGGTGCATTAACAGTTCCATCATCATTATACTTTGTCCATATTTAACTTTTTGATCAGGTCAAGTGAAGGTTCCGATTCTTTTGCGGTAAAATCTTACTAACACCACCTCAGGTGATGCGCGTTGCTTATATGTATTCGCGCAGTCGGCGCAGCGTACATTCCCGAGCATGTGATTGTGATTGTGGCGTTTACTATTGTTAAGGTAGATATGCGCTCACTACAATTTTATATATATATAAGAACTTCATAGGTTTGCGCACAAAATTTTTATATGCTCTGCGCGTATAAAAAACCGGCCATCTCTCGCTTTCACATGTAGTGTTCGCAGTATCACATTACTCGCATCCATAAATTATTCACTTCCTTATTTGATAATAAATCCGGTTTCTTCCAAGTATATATAGAGGAGAAAATTAATTTACTTTAAATATCGTCTAACTCAAAATTTTTCTATCTTAAACCCTCACTTAATAATTTTTTAGTCTATCAAAAATGGGTATGCGTAACTCAACACTTTATGGATATTAATCATACTACTTTATCTGATCAGTTATTTATTTTATTTGTAGAATACGAAATTGAAAATAAAGATAACTTAAAAAAAAGATGTGAAGAAGCCATGAAAATTATTCCAAATTATGGAGATTTCACAAAAAATTATTTTTCTATCGAAAAGGAAAAGTTTAGCGATACTATTACACAATGGCAAAACAGTTATCCAGATTTGTATTATGAATTGGAAAAATGGAAGGAAGAATCTGGATTTACACACGAAACGTTAACCATAATTCGCAAAACTAAAAGTAAAAAAGTAGAGTGCGTATTTCTAAAAATTTACGAATCAGAAGGGACTGATATCTTGAATTGTGTTGATATTTATAGAAATTATCCAAAGCCAAGCAAAATTTTGAAAGTACGAAACATAATATTTAAACACAAGAGTGAAAAAATTTTCAATCAATTAATGAAATCGCACTCTAAAACTGTGGCAGCTCTTATTTTATCCGGAAATGATGGAAATGGATTAAAAATATCATGGAATTAATAGTATATTTGCATCATCTTGGGTTTAGCGAATCTTGTGGTGACCCATGCAATTTGCAATTTTTTCTTCCTTCAATACACTACGTCACTATAATTTCCTTTTTCAGTTAAATTACCCTTGGCTATTTCCTTTACATTTACAGCATAATTTTTTTTTTTTGTATACATAATAATCATTGCATAATGAACGTGGTTTCTGTTTAGTTTATAATTTTTTTCACAAACGATCTGTTACACATTCACAAACAATTTCCTTTATCAACAAAATGTATTTATAATTTTTTCAAAAAAATAAATCAATTACTAAAAATTCATCTTATTGAACACATGAAAATGACGATGTTCATATGCAGTGAAACAAAGGGAAAATGATATTTAATCGTCTAAATATTTGTAAAGTAAATTACATTGTTAAAAACTCTAAAAACACGGAATTGTAACAAGTTATAAATAAATTTTAAAGGGTACAATTATATAGGTAATTAATTATCTTTTATACTATACATTTCAGAAACATATATAACATATTTATTTATCTGATATGCAAAGGTTAATTTATGACTCTGTGTAAGTCCGAAGACTACGAATATAGAATTAAGAATGATGAAAATAGGAAAGAAATGTGTGAAAAAGCTTTAGAGAATATCTCCTATAATGGAGAGTTTAGACAAAATTCTTTCTTCATCAGAAGAAGTAAGCTGGAAGATACTATCAACTGTTGGCAAAATAGTTTCCCTGAATTGCGTGAACAATTAAAAGGTTGGAGGAAGAGCGATGTAGGAAGTAAGTTTACGAGTAAAGAAATATTAAGTCCCCTTCGCAGGGGTAAAAAAATAAAATTCGTTTTTCTAAAAATCTATGATAGAGGAGAGGGAGAGGATACCGAGGATACCGAGGATACCTTGAGATGTGTTAGTATCTCTGGAGAAGTTTCAATTAAAGTAAAAGTTATGGACAGAATGTTCGGATTGAAGAGATGGATTGGTGAAAACATTAAAGAACATACCAGAATGATAAAGTCACATCCTGAAATTATGGCCGCACTTATCATGTCACGAGGCAAAAATTTGAACGTATTATGGGAATAAAACGAGCGAAATGAAGCTGAGTAATGCCTTACGCTACCTTTATTTCTTCGTACCATTTTATTGAGATTTTCCACATACATATCTAGTTTTTTTTTAGCAATAAAAAAAATTTAGTTTTCACTAAAAATAGAATTTAAAGGCTTCATAAAGTAAGTTAATAAATTCATACAATTTGTGATTATTTTTATATAGATAAAGAATAAAGAAAATGATTCTGTAAAATCAGTAAATCATGGGAAACTCAGTTGTACAACAGTACCCCTATTCTTTAACATATAAGGACCCCTTTTAATACAATAGTGTAACTTCTAATTTTTCATTGGCTTAAAATCTCGTTATTTATTTTGATAAAGACTTTTTTTTAAAAACTTTGTTTTTATACACCAACAATAAACCCATTTTTGATTAAAAAACAAAATTACTGTCTCAAAATAAAATCTTATTATATACATAAAGAAATTTTTAAAGAATAATATCAATATCCTTGTCTCTAGAATAATAAAGTTTTTTTTTTATTATTATTATTTACTGAACCAGCTCTTAGAAGTATAATAAAGTAATAGATAGATAACGCATTCCGAACTATTCTATAATTTATTTATTTAATCAATTAAAGTAAAATATTTTTGTTGATTGATTATCACTAATCATATACATATCATGCCGTGTTGTGTTACCATGTTTGGTTTATAAACGTGTCTTTTTCCAAAATATTTTTTGTCAACTTTGATTCAGTATCATTAATACTAACAAACGAGAAATATTTCGTGTATACATCCATATCTTTTTAAGAATTTTCATTCACTTTTTTAGTCATAATAACCATGGGCAAGTCTTTATTTTATTAATACCATATGAACATTATTTTGATAATAAATCTGGTTAATAATTTTTTGTTTTTTTTTTATTAGAGCACACAATTAAGGACTTTAAGTACGAAATTGAGAACGTAAATGACCTAAGAAAAAAATGTGAAAAAGCCTTGAAAGTTATTTCAAATTATGGAGATTTCACAATTAATGGTTTTTCAATTAAAAAAGAAGAGTTGAACGCAATCATTACAAAATGGCAAAATAGCTATCAAGAATTGCAAAAAGAATTAGAAGACTGGAAGCGAGAATCTAAACCTTCATATGAAACTGTAGCTCTTCTTTGCAAGAAGAAAAAAGTTGAATGCGTTTTTCTAAGAATTTATGATTCAGGAGAACCTGGTCTTCTAAATTGTGTTAGCATTACTAGGACTTATGCAAAGCCTGGCATAATGTCGAAATTACTAAACAAAGTATTCAAACATAAGAGTCAAAGAATTTTCAAACAACTGGCAAAATCGCAACCTGACACCATAGCCGCACTTATTTTATCCAAAGATGATGGATTGAAAGTTATTTGGAAATAATACATTGCAAAAGTACAAAACATATCTTCTGTGCAAGTACTAGTTTTCAACACAAAATATCTCGTATCGTACTAATCGTCGGACATACAAACGCAAATATCGTATTATCTGGGGATAACAGATTTAAAATATCGTTTTGGCAAAAACATAACCGTCTTTTTTACGCAAGTACCGTAAATATTTCGTATTGAATTAATCGACAAACATACAAACACAAATATCGTAACTTCGTACGTTTTATTCGTTAAAATATTTCGACACTTATCTTAAAATCAACACAAACAAATATAATTTCGATTTACTGTACATATACTTTTTCAATTACCAATTTCATGTAAATTAAAATTTTTTTTAATATCGTGTATTAATAATGTATTAATAAAATTTACTATGAATTTACTATTAAAAAATGAGTATAATCAATTTTTGTGAAACAAAACTGTCGAAATTAGACAAATTATCTTATTTCGATCGTTTTTTTAGGGTGTTAAAAAAATTTTTTTTCCGTTCGGGTAAGTTGGCGAACCATTTAGTAATTACCTACTATAATCACTTAAAACAATATTAAATAATACTACAGAAGTAAATACAAATACTTCAGAAATGCAAATATTGACTGAAAATTGGTTTTAATATTAATGAATAGAGTACTGATGAACCTACTTTACTAAACTAAGAACCTTTGAATTGATGAGATATACGATGAAAATTTTGGGTCTGATAGTGAGTTTAAGGATTTTTAATACCGTGCCTTGCACCAATCTGTAAATCCGTTTCCGAAGACAAACCTACCTCCAACCCCACTAGTATTATCGATATATTTCCTAAATTTCTAAAGAGTTTCTAAAAAAAATGTTTTTTACAGTTAGAATCAAAAAAAAATAATTCGAAAAATAAATCACAAAACAACCCTTTAAAACAATCAAGTCCTCAAGAAATCAATAAAATTATATCCTTATTTTGATCTTTGGCTTCCTGTTGTATTGTCATCCTTATGTAGGAGACCAAAATCGATTTCTTCTCTTCATGCATTATTAACAAAATGTTGTCATTGGACATACAAATCGTCATGAGCGTTGGTTGGAAATACTAGAATGCAAATATTGACCCTATAAAGCGATTAAGAAATGGAAATATGTGGCTCATTTTTTATCAATTCTTTAAGAATTATCCTAATTTAGCCAATATTGTGGTTCTATTAGGACTAAAAAGAATAAAGGAATTTTATTGTCAAAGAATTATTAAACTGAACGAATAAATACAAAGGAAGACGCCATTTAGAAATAATAAGATAGATATAAGATCGATAAATAAGTCAATAGTATCTTTACAAAAAAAGGAAGATACCTTAAGAAATAATGAAAGCACGTCCCGTTCAATACTAATCAATGGAAATTCTCAACAATTAAATGATAAAAATCCTGCTAATCCTGCTCCTAAAGGTAAAAGAATAGTTACAACAAACAAAAAAAAGAAATATTAAAACCCTTATTGCTTAAAGAAACAATGCAATTGAATAAGAAATTGACAATATCTTAGCTAACTTGCTAACTTGCTTACCTTCTTCAACTTAAATATTAAAAAAAAAAATATCTATTTTAAGAACAAATTTGCCGAAATTAACAATATAAAATTAAAATTTAGATTTTATACAAAAGCCCTTGTATGAACAATTTCTATAACTTAGATTAAAAAAAAAATTCATCTTTTTTTTTTTAAAAAAAAAAGAAGATATCACATGATATTATAGCACATGATCTAGAATCAATATTATTCGTTAAATTGTTGTACTACTATTTTTTTTTTAACGAAAAAATTGTGTAATGTGGATATTGTCCGAATTGGTATAAAATGCGCCAATCCTTTTGAGAACTTTATCATTGTGCTGCACAATCATATCAGAATGCGCTAATAGAAGTTGTGTCATGCCCTTTTATATTGCGCATTCTAGCAGATGATGGACAAACCCTTCGCATAAGCCTTCCGCAAATTTATGATTTATCTATCGGATAGATGGTATCACTACTTTAATGGGTTACTCCATAATTCCATGGACATCCCGCCATCCCATATGGGTGAACCCTATCAGTTAATCGAACAATCAAATTTAAGCCTTTTTTTAGATGAAAATAAAATTATCAAATAAAGTTTTGCGTTTGCGTCGGTTCTATCGCGTATTCTTTGTCTACAATACACATAATATTTAACCAATAGAGATTTGATCACGTGAGCACGAATTTTTATCGAATATAAAAGTTTATATAAGAAATAATTGTCTTAAAATACATTATATATATCCAGAGATTCTTAATCATCATAAAAATAAATGTTATAACATAAACGATATTTTACACTTATTATTACTTAGTTACAGATCAAATTGTGATCGTAGAAATAAAATATAATAAATTTATGAATCTGTATAAACTGCTTTATGAAGCCTTTAAATTCTATTCACTAAAGTAAAAGTAGACTAAAAATTTTTTAACGGTTACTTTTGATATTCATTGTGTAAAAGAAAACTATGTGTGTATGTTTGTTTGTTTTTTTTGAAACCCGCAAGGGTAGTGTGAGACGATGGACATTACTCATTCTCCCATATTAATTTTAATCCAACTCTTCTAGACATGATAAGTGCGGCAATAACTTCTGGATATGACTTTATTAGTTTGATATATTTTTTTTCGTCCTCACTAACCCATCTCATCAATTTGAAAAATCTATTAACTTTTACTTTAATTGAAATATCTCCAGAGATACTAACACATCTCAACAAGGTATTCTCTTCCTCACCTTTATCAAAAACTTTTAGAAAAACGCACTTTAATTCTTTGCCCCCGTGAAGGGGACGTAATATTTCCTTTTTTGTATATTTATCTCCTTCGCTAAACTTCCAAAGTTCTAATTCATCACTCAATTCTTGGAATTTCTCTTTCCACATGTTGATAATATCATTCAGTTTATCTTTCTTGATAGAGAATAAATTTTGGTTAAACTCCCCATTATATGATATATTATTTAAAGCTTGTTCACATATATTTTTCCGGTTATTTTCATCTTTAATTCTATATTCGTATTCTTCGGCTCTTTGGTATTCTTCGGTTCTCTGCAGAGCCATATTAATCTTTTGGAGTAATTGCATATAAGACAGTTAAATAAGTCATTTTTTTTTTTTTGAATTTATAATAATTATTATTAAAAATAATTTAATTACCTATATGTTGTAACTTAAAAATTTATTTCACAACTGTTGCAAAATTCCGAGTTTTTAATAATGTAATATTTCTTTACCTTAAAACTTTTTTTTTAGACGGCTAAATATTATTTGTATTATTTATATTGTTTATAAACATGTGAACCAAGATGAATTTAGTATATTTAAAAAGTAAATTTTATTTCTTTGAAAACTTATAAATACTTTTAAATGAAGCATGTGTAACTAAATGATCGCTTGTGAAAAAAATAATGATTGTGCAATTAAAAAAAAAGGAAAACCCGAATTGGCTGCATAATATAAAATAGAAAACTATGAATTTTTATAAACCCTGAAAAAAAATGAATGATTGTAATTAAAAATTGTGTTGATGACGTCAAATATTTTTAAAAAAGTACAAATGAAATGCAAGTTGTCGGTTGGTGATGTTTGATTTTTGGTCATTAGATACAAATGAAAATGCGAGTTGTAGTAATTCCCACAAGTTAATTCTTTTTATGAATTGATTGGCGTTATTTAACCTAATATTTTTATGGTTATATGTTGTAAACATGCCGTTAGTTCCATAATATTTTTAATCCATCATTTCCGTTATTTCCGGATAAAATAAGAGCTGCCATGATTTTAGAGTGCGATTTTATTAGTTGATTGAAAAGTTTTTCACTCTTGTGTTTAAATATTATATTTCGTGCTTTCAAAATTTTGCTTGGCTTTGGATAATTTCTATAAATATTAACACAGTTTAGGATATCAGTCCCTTCCGATTCGTAAATCTTTAGAAATACGCATTCTACTACTTTTTTGCTTTTGGTTTTGCGAAGTAAGGCTATCGTTTCATGTGTAAATCCGGTTCCTTCCTTCCATTGCTCTAATTCGTAATACAAATCTGGATAATTGTTTTGCCATTGTGTAATGATATCACTTAGCTTTTCTTTTTTAATAGAAAAATAATTTTTTGTGAATTCGCCATAATTTGGAACAATCTTCATGGCTTTTTCACATCTTTTTTTTAGGTTATTTACATTCTCAATTTTGTACTCTACAAAAAAAAAAAAAATGATCAGATAAGGCAATGTGTTTAACATACCTAAAAGTGTCAAGAAAATTATACCCATTTTTGATAAATATTACGTGAGGATTCAGGTAGAACAAATTTTTTTAATAAGACCTTATTTGGCATTACAAAAAGAGCAATATTTTATTGTGTCGTAGAAGAAAACCGATAAAATTATTAGGCGTAATAGCTATAAAAAAAAATTGGTTCTGAAATTTAAATATTTATAAGGTAAAAATAGTTTTTTTTTCCTGCTAATTATTGACATTTATTTATTTGTGCATTATACTGATGAACCAATCAAAGATAAAATTTCTATTTTTACTAATTTTACCTTTTTTGAAATTTTACTGTATTATGATGAACCTTCGATATGAAAAATCTACGGTCACGGGTGTTTATTTTATCCATTCACATGATCATCAGCCAATAAAATCGTAAATCTAGTTTATCTCGATCAGTGATGGATGCAGCGTACATGATTGTACGCGATATTTTTTCATAATGGCGCTTTATACGTAAGTTATTTCACGGGGAACTGTGGATATCAATGACTTTCACGACGCAGCCGTGAAAATCAGTGACTCCTTGAAATAATATTATTTATTTTATATGAATAATGTACGTTCTGCGCGTATAAAAATAATCTGATTTCCAACACTGCTTACAACGGGTTCCGTTTCCTAGTTAGTAATATTATTTTATGTTAATAACAACTATATTTTTCATAAGATTTTTGCAGATATGATGATTAGAAATGGAAAAATAAAATAATTCTGGCTAATAGAAATATTTTCTCTGCATAGAATAGTTGGACCTAATTATTCATGATAGCGTACGCAATACTAATTCACTTCTACGATTCATGGAATTAATGATTTAAAAAGGGATAACTAACCTAAATAAAATAAATGCTCGGATAATCAAACGAAGGAACTGGGTTAGAGTTCGGCTCTTTTAGAATTTAGACCTACTACTCTAATATTTTATTACCTACTGGCCGACATCACATAAAATAATAAAGAATTTTAGTTAGATTGTGTAAGGATTAATATATAAAATTGTGTAACCAAACTTTGTTTTCAAACTCAATTCCAATCGTAAATTCGCTTAACACCGATTGGTTCAGTAGATACTTCTGCAACCGCATATTAACCCCCAGAAGCATCAGAACGCTTCCAAATTAGCCAAATGGAAACATAACTATTAAATATTTCATAAAAAAAATAAGGCTATTCATTTCTTGCATTTTCATTTTTCGAAGTATATAAATATATTTTCTTTCATAACAATGTGGTTTTACCAATTATGGTTCTTTGTGTTCGTTTGTGAAGCAATGGCTAAAATCACTTGTTTGTTAAATCCAAAATTTCAAAAATTTAAGGTACTCCTTGTCAACTGTTTTCCTCCACGTTCAGAATTTGATAATTCTTTCATTTACTTATTTTATCTATTATTTATTTGTTATTATTGTGATACAAAATACGTTCAGTATTTACGCCAAATGGAATCATAAGTCCATGAGTTTCCTTATTATATTTCTCATCGATAATTGGCAGTAAAACAGCCGAATATCATATTTCGTCAACTTTATTTGTAACACCAATTCTTTTGAACAATTTGCCAATAAATACAAGAGTTGATGAGATTGATAAGCCTATAAAGACAAATGATTTTATCTTCCGACTGGACGTTGAATTTTTGCCATCCAATTAATGTAAGCTCCAACTTTACATGGTCTCATTTTATTCTCTTTAAATTGCACACCCTCTTATATTATAGAGCTGACTGTAATACTGTAGCTTCTTTATACTGTAATCATAAAAGTTTTATAAAGTCATGTACCACCGAATCCGATGATATATATATTAAATCTTTTCCATGAAGCAAAATTGACTGAATTACGCGATTAATCGTTTATCAATTAATTTATTTTCGATTCTAAATTTTCGATTCCGATTAATCATTTCTAATCGATTGTGCACCATTTAATTTGTAGCAGAATGATCACAAATTTAACATAAAAGCTATTTTATTTATTTAGTTTTTTATTTTATTTTATGGATAATCAGTGATCGGCGGTAACTCTGGCTAAGTTTATAATTCCGGCCGGAATTAACTTTTTGTGTATCACTTGCTTATCTTAAGTCACGTGATTTAGAATTCGCAATTTTTGATTAATTAGAATAAAGTTTAAAATCTTTAATTCTGTTTTCTTAATAGTGTTTCTAATAATAGGTCTACATTAATATGTAGGTTTAATACCATAAAAAATAGTTAATAGACTATCTTTATTTTGTTGGGGATCCGTCCAAACGCTATTTCAATAAACCTTCCCAAATTTCTTTTTTTTTTTTTTTGACTTTTCCTTATTTTAAAATTCAAATAAAAAAAACCGCTTAATTAACTTAATTAATTCTGAACCAACAATAAAAATTATAATTTTATAAATTTAAATGATTCAATAATTTTAATTTAAAGATGTTTCATTCATATGATAACGATTAAAAATCTACTAACATTATTTTCGAATAACCTGAAATATTTCATAATAACTATCATAATTATTATTATATCAGGAATTTCAGGGTTGACACCATAGCTCGTATAATTTACCTTATTTTATACAATACAATACCTTATAGTAGGGACAAAATATAATATTTTAATTATTTAGTGATTTGCGTAGAATTTACTTCACCATAATTAAATTAAGTCATTCAAATTTGAATCAAAGTATCGTCCAATAAATTTAAAAAACCAACAATAATCCCTATAAAAAAAAGAATGTCCGGAAAAATTGCAATATTCCGGACGCCAAGACATTTTGAATTCCCAGAAAATGTCTAGAATGTCTAGGAGGGCTCAGGCCTAGTGTCCGGAAAGTGTCCGGAATAATGCAATTTTCCGGACAATTTTCATTTTCCGGACATTTTCGATGTCAATTTCCGGATATTCTTTTTTTATAGGGTAAATGAAATTTTACTCTCCAAATCAATTTAACTTTATTTCCTGCTTAAAAAGCGCATTTGAAAATGTAAGTATCAATGATATCAAATCATGTATAATTAAGTTTTTAAAAATTTAATACATGAATGGAAAACCAATGGTTGGAGCCGATCTGGAGTCTTTATTTGAATTTCTTTGTTATATAGGCAAATAGAACAATTTGTTTACCTTCTCCTTTGATAATTACTGTATGTATTTATTAGCAATAGATAATTAATAAAAATACTTCAAATTAAGAAATAAATTTGAAGTTCCCAGATATAAAATATTTTGTTGCTGTATAGTATAAGTAGGGATGGCACGTGATTTAAAACAAGATGTTTTAAAACAATTTAAATCAGTTTTTTATTGTTTTAAAACTTTTTTTTTTTTTGTTTTAAAACATTTATCGGCATGATTATTGCGTAATTATTTTTTAATAACCTTTTTTGTAACTTTTTTAAAAATTATTCTCGTGGAAGACCATCATCAGAAGACGTCCGTAAGCACTTTGAATGAGTTGCGAAAAACACCTCGTCAAAAGTGTGTAATTATTGTGGAAATGACATTAGTTATTGATTTAATTGATCGATTAAAAGATTTAAAATTAATATATTATATAATTCTTTTTTTTTTTTAAGAGTTAGCGCACATTTTATTTAACGAATAGTAGAGGATCACTAGTATCACTAAGCTATTACAAATAAAATTTCCAACAAGGTCGGTCCGGCTATACTCTAAATATATATTATATAATAAAATGCTTAAATTTTTATTGCAGATATGTATTACGTAGTAAAGTGCTTAATGTTTTAGAACACGTTTAAAACATGTTTTAAAACGCCAAAATTGTTTTAAAACATGTTTTTTGCCATCCCTAAGTATAAGTCTAAAAATAAGTAAATAATGGGGCTTACATTTTTCATAAAATGTATTCTCATCCTTGCTAACACGAACAAAGCAATTTGAAATATGCACAACTTTAATGAAAAGTTTTTCTTGTCAATGCGTCTAGAAAAAAATCTAAGTGTAAGTATTATATCATCCTTAAAAGTATATATAAACTGCATTTTTATTAAATTTGTAATAATATAAAAATTCTGTTATTTTCATAAATCAGTAGTTACTAAGTATTAAATTCGTAAAAAAGTTGAATTTTATTTAGATCGAAACAAATAAAGATGAAAAGATATCATTAAAATCATATCAACTTTCATTGAGTTCGTTGTCGAAGAAAAGTCCAATGAAGATGAGTAATAGTATTGGAAGCCCCAAACAACTGGTAGTAGAAACATTTTAAATCATTTAACAATGAAATTTCCTAAATGTACCATTTTTAGGTCATTATTGTTATAGTGAATAGCTGTTTCCTTATATGAATATGAATCAAATGCTTTAATTTTCATTGCTTTCAGTTCCTATTCCATATTGATAACACCGAAGAAGTAGTTACCATATAGCAGTGATGTGCATTGGAAGATTGGAAGCTATTGGAATTTCCAATTCTCCAAATTCCAACACATCACTGCCGTATAACACTGACTAAGGAACCCCCATTTTAGCGTGCTGCCCTTATAATATACCGGATATGATATGTAGAGGATAATTTTTAATTCTGGTAAAATTAGGCTAACTAGGCTAATTCTGGCTGATTTTTCCATGTTCCATACAAAAGTACTCCCGAGTACGATTCAATTTTTTAAATAGGATAAATTTGATTTGTACCCGGGTACCTTAGTCAGTGCTATACGGTATTTGGCACGGATAAAGCAATTATACTACTTGTCTACAAAAAAAAAAATAAAATTTTCAAAGTTCATTGCTTTTTGTGTTAAAAGTTAGTTATGTGTCTTATAAGCGCAGTATACTACTCTGAATTAGTATTTTTTCATCACTTGATTCTGAAACAAATCATTTTGAAATTACACAATCAACCGATAATGGTTAGGTACTCGGGTTTAAATTATAATGTCATATATTCGAATTATAAATTTTTTCAAATTTCAAATTTTTTTGATAAAAAAATAATTATACAAATATAGTTAATACAAATGTTAAAAATATTGTTTGAATTTGCCATGGGGGTTCTTTACTCTAAATAGTTAATGTTTGGAGATGCAAAGAACATCGTCATTTTAGTCAAATTTTAAAATTAAAAACTAGAGTAAGACTGACTAGCATTAAAGTCACCTGATTAATGATTAACTCAGAATTTTAGCAGAAAATGCTAAACTCGAAATTATCATATAATGATTTTTTTTTCAACTATTAATGGCAAAGTCGTATTTATGTAGCGTTATTCACACGTGTATAACTCGTGGTTCCCTAATTTTTACAGCAATGAAGTTTCAAATAATCAAATTAGACCAAAATTAACTATAAATGGATAATTTAATGAAATGCATAAATGATTGGTTGAAAATAAGCCACGCTAATGGTTTTTTTGACCAATTAAAATTACCCTCAATAGGTCCCTTATGATTATATATATATATATCCGGCAATGCCATGCCAGCCATCGAGTTTATACAGCCTTTACAAGTCCAGTGAAACTGCAAAGTAATATTTCGCCCCTACCATTTATTTTACATTATTGTAAAAAAAAGGGTTGCGGCTTAAAATCTAACTAATGTAACTTATCACCCTCCGAAACTCTAATATGCAGGTCAAATAAAGAATATGTTTCAATATAAAAATATAAAACCCAAATTACAATTTATGGTTAAAAGACTTGATTACTAAATAACTAAAAATTATTATTGTTATATTTCTTAAATTGATTCGTTTTAAATTTAGGATTCAACCAATAAAACCTTTTACTAACAACTCCTTTTTTTATTGTTTACCGAATTAAGGATGATATCATTAAAAATAGTTTTATTTTTTTTTTACTCCTTTTTTTTTTAACGTAAAAATATAATTTTAACTCGTACTAAATTAATCTCTCTTAAGCGCGTTTACAGAGATAATAAACTTTTTAAACTTTTTACCAGAATCAAAACTTGTTATCCGATGTAAAAAATTGATGAGCCACAAATGAAACCCTGGTGATGATCTACCCGATAAAAGCCAAGTAAAATTGCCAAGATAATAAATAGATCCAAATAAACATAATTCCGTTCTATTTATTCTATTTTTATATTACCATGTTATTTACTGTAATTTCCGTAAGAACAAATGGTATTTGTGTTACCTAACTTACCTCGCCCCCAATCACGATCATCTCGTACAAAATTTATGAAAAAAAATCGTTAAAAATGGCTTTGATCGTGGCTAGGAAAAAGAAGGCTTTGAGATTTAGGAAAAATCTAACTTTTAGTAAGATTACCTTTGTTGAATTATCTGTAACAAGAAACATGTTTCAAAAATATATAAATCATTACTCATTTAAGAATTGTTTTAATTTATGAAGTTACCTCATATAGTAAGAAAATAAAGTTGTTTACAATACAATATAAATTATTTATTTATCGGTATCACCCGATGCACATAATAACGGGGCTATTATGATAATAAGTATAATTGACCCACTTTTTTTAAATAAATATATCACATTCTTTTTCTCTCCTCCTCTTCTCCTTTTATTTTCGGGTCCAAATTTTTCGGAAAAGGTTTTATACAAGTTATAAATAGACACCGCCTCAGTAATTCTAATATCTTTTTATCGGTAAATTTTATTTTCAGAAAGTGAAAATCCATTTCACAAGCCAAGAAACTTTATTCAAAAATTAGGGGTTTTTAAATAAATTAATAAATTTGGAAAAAAAAAAAATTTATTTATTTAAATAAAATTCTCAAAAAAAAAAAATCCATTTTTCTCTTCTTCAAATATTTAATAAGTGTATATTATATTATTTTCTTGTCATTATGAAAGTAATAATTATCACTATATTTTCCATAACATTATTGTCATCAATAGTCAGTTCACAAAAAGCATGTAATGGTTATCCTGAACTTTGTGGTAAACTATACTCCGGTATAGCATACCCAACAACACATAATGCTTACGCTTATGGTAAGTCTGTAGCGGCGAACCAAAATTATGATATACCAACACAATTGAAAGATGGTATTAGAGGATTTATGTTGGATGCCAACTTTCCCACAAACAATACAAATGAAGTACATTTATGTCATAGCTCATGCGACTTGTTAGATCAAGGTCCAGCAGCTACTACTTTAAAACAAATTGGTACTTGGTTAGATGATAACCCAAATGAAGTTATTACTATATTATGGGAAAATGCTGGTAAAGTACCAGCCGCTATGTTCAATAGTATATACACTCAGTCTGGGTTTGTCAAATACGCTCATTTTCAAGAAGTTGGTAAAGATTGGCCTACTTTGAATGATATGATTGGAAGTGGTAAAAGAGTTGTAAATTTTGTTGATACAGGTGCTGATCCATCTGTTCAATGGTAAGCAATTTTTTCTTGTCCTTTTTATTTTATTAAAAAAAAAAAAAATTTACATATGTTGTTCAAATTTTTATTAGGTTAATGCCAGAATATAGTTATGTATTTGAGACCCCATTCGAAAATGAAAATGCAAATGCATTTACATGTACAGTTGACAGACCAAAAAATCAGGAACGTCCGATGTACGTTCTAAATCATTTCTTATATGGTACTTTAGCAATTAGTACTTCAATTGATGTGCCTCAACCTGATAAAGCGAACACCACAAATTCTGCTAGTTTAGCTGATCATGCTAAAAAATGCCAACAAACGTTCGATAAAATTCCTAATTTTATTGCTGTAGATTTTTATGATCAAGGTAGTGATAATCAAAATGTTCTTTCGATTACCGCTGATTTAAATGGTGTTCAGTATGTTCCAAAACAATTGGGCGATGGTAAAAGTGTTTCTAAAGGCGGAAAGGGAACCTCTACAGTAACAAGTGTCGCTAAACCTAATAGTGATTTAAGAAATGCTAATATTCTTACTGGTTTAGCTGGTGTTGGAACTATAGCTATGTTCGTATTATAATAGTAAAAAAAAAAAAATATAGAATTTAAACATATTTATAGTTATTGAATATTTATTGTAATTTATTGAAAGTTATGAAATATGAAATAAAAAAAAAATTTTTTTGTATAAATAAAATTGTGATGATCACCTGATAGTTTCAACTGCGGTAGAATAACAAAATCGTTTCAGAAAGTATGCTCACTTACTATAATCAGTTAAATCACGTGATGATAATGATTTTTTAAAAAACGCGAAAAACTTCTTTTCTTTTAATTTCTTGTACCGAAAAAAGTTCATAGATCCTTAAACATTACCTTTCTTATTTCTTAACATAAACTAAAATGTCCCAGCAACAAGATCATCACGTACAAGAAGAACAACAACAACCGCAGCAGCAATATCAAATTCAATATCAAAAAATATCAAAACTATTAGAACTTGTATCAGATTCTGAAGAAGAGGATACAGATTTAATCCAACCTAATAACCAAATAACTTGTTTAAATGATATTGCAATAAGAAATGAAATAATAACAGAACATTTCGGTTTTTTACCAATAAGTTTTGTTGATGATATAATTAATTCTATTAATGAATTAATTTATATAGCTATTGCTGGTATGGATAATTTTGTAAACTCTGAATTGAAAAATAAAAAAGAAGTTGAACAGGTGCATGTGAAAATCAAATTTTTAAAATAATTTGTTTTTTTTTTATATATTTATGAATGAATGAATAGAATAACTTTTTTTTTTTTACATTTCGTCATACAGGGTACACATCAAATTGAAACGTTGTTGGAAAATTTGGTTGATAAATATTTTGAACGATTTGAGATATACACGTTACATAAGATTCTTGCTATACGTGAAAATGTTACGGTCGTATTGAAGCATAATGAGGTAAATTTTATTATTTTTTTTTTTTCAAATTTAAAGATTGAACATATTTATTTTACTTTCTTAATTGTATCAGGGCGTGAATTTTAATGTGGATGAAAGTGTAGAAGTAGAAACTGATAAAGAGATTGAATTATTACGAAAAAAAATTATGGCCGTAAATAATTGTTTAATTTGGTATTTTGATGAAGGTTTTTGTTGAGAATCCTATTAAAATTGTATTTATTAAATATTATAAAAAAAAATCGAATTTACCAGGCGAAATGTTTTAATCTCAAGCTAAAAAAGCAACTGATTAAATATGATATACAAATTGAAAGATTAAAGCGAACCGAAAATAAAATATCGTTTCTACGAACTGCTGCAAAGGCTCATAATGGTATCATTATTAAATAAATAACTCTTCCTTTTATTTGTTTAATCATAAAAAAAAAAAAATAACATTATTATTCTTCACTTAGCATCTCCTTTATCGGATACATTGAGGTTTGTAACCGATCAATTAATGGCCATTAAAAAGATGTACTATAATTTGGATGAATCGGCTAAGGAAGAAAACTTGAAACAGTATGAAAACATGATTGATGAACGTGAGAAATTTATTAGCATGATGGTATTACGACAAACAGAGAAAGAAAGATCATTAACACGTAGAAAGGAATGCTGAAAAAATGTTTGTCACACATTTAAATCATTTTTTTATACATCTTTTTTTTTGTGTCAATAAATTAGTATTAATATTTGTGATTTCCTTATTTCCTTTTAAAAAAAACATCCTCACACATATAATTTATTATGCTTTATATATCTATCTCTCCATAGCGTAGCATAATCTATGCTGATTTCGAATGAATGATAATTCGTGTATTATGATTAGTAAAAAGACATTGTCTATATATAACAATTAATCCTTTAATTTTGGTTTGGTTTATTGTAATAAAAAGAAAATTATACAAAGTTTATTCAGTATTAAGAAAGAAATACAGATTATAACTGATAAGATGAACACAACTTTAATATTCTTTTTATACAACCATCCGTTAAATTGCCAAGAGATAAGTAACGACCCTGAAAGTGTCTTTATAAAGGCTTTTGTTACTGCAGAGAATTGTATCATTATTCCTATATTAAGTATTCTTATGATTGAATCATTATAATGCAATATATTAAATAATTTATATAATTTATAAAATACGCATCATTTTTAGTTAAATTTAATTTGATCACGTGCATTATTTAATTTAGATTATGAAACACTTTAGAGACACTAGTAAATCATTTAAATTTTTAATTAATTTTAGAAAGAGAATAATATACGAAGATCTCAGGATAAACCTGTGCCAAACGCTTGAGTACCAATGATTTTTAATTTAAAATATTTCCCGTTTTTTTCTTTTGATCGCCTTCTGGGGATAATAAAAAAGAAAAATAAAGAAATGGAAATTATTGTTTATCAAAAAGAGATTAACTTGGCTTATTATAGAAAATCTTGTAATTCAAACCTATAATGGGTAATTTCTTCCATCCCCGACTAACAAATAATTCCCTTTTTAAAAAATAAAAATATGTACATATTTAAACACGAAGTAAATCAATAACTATGATCTATCAGCCATTCTCATTTAGTTATATTTTCATTTTTGAAAAAATTTTCCGCTATATATATTATATTTATATTTATGTTTGTTTATATTATATTAATTAATTATAATGTCCGAATATATATATATAGTTTTCAAGGAAATGTGAATCAATTTTTTTTTTGTCTAATTTTAGCAGATTTTATGAATATATAAATAAAATGAAAAATTATTTAAGTACATGATCAATTTTTTTTTTGCTTTTTTACATCAAACAATTATTCACATATATCTATTTTTTATTAAAAAAAAGAGAGATAAAGATAGCTTATTTAAAAGAATTCGTTACGCTAAAATAAAGTTAAAAAGAAAATTTAAATAATTAAACGTAAATGAGTTATTCGCAATTGAAAACACAATATTCAATCGAAGTTGCTGATGCTCCTGATATTCCTGGAGAAGGAAAACCTCGTAGAAATGCTCTCTGTCCTGATAAATTAATTATTCACCCACCAAATGCAACTACTTTGTACGAAAATTTCTTACATGGTGTTAATAAAGCAGGTAAATTATTAAATTATCTATGATATTCAAATTCAATCGTAAATTATTTCCTCTTTAATTATTCGAATTATATAAAATTTAAATTTTAATAATAGGTAATAGAAATTTCTTGGGACATCGAGAAATTCGGGATGGTGTTGCTGGACCTTATGTTTGGCAATCATATATTGAAGTACAAGAACGTGTGGCGAATTTTGGTTCAGGTTTAAGTAAATTAGGATTTAAACCTAAAGAAATCTTAGGGATATTCTTAATCAGTACCCCTGAATATGTAAATATTTTCTTCTATTAATTATGATATATAATTTATTAAATTCTTAATTAATTTCTTGATTAAATTTTTTAGATAATGGCACAACTTGCATGTCATCAATATAATTTCATTTCAGTTCCATTGTATGATACTTTAGGAATTGATTCTATTGAATATATTATAAATCAAACTGAGATGGAATATTGTATTGTTACAATTGATAAAGGTCGAATACTTCTTAATATGAAGGATAAATTACCAACTCTTCAAACAATTATCGTTATAGATAAATATGATCAAGAATTTACCGATCTTGCAAATTCACTTAATATTAGAGTATTAAATTTTGCTGTCATAGAAAGAGATGGATCTGTTCATCATATTAATGCTGAAAATGCTAGACCTAATGACGTTGCCGTAATTTGTTATACTTCTGGTACAACAGGTACACCAAAAGGTGTAGTACTGACCCATAAAAATATAATGGCAAATGTTGCTAGTATTAGATGGCTTTCTGAAAAAGGAAAATGTTATTTACCATCAACAGATGATGTACATATTTCATATTTACCATCAGCCCATGTATATGAATTGGTTAATACTGCAACTATGATTTATGGGGGAGTAGCGATTGGATTTTATCAAGGTAATACCTTGAAATTATTAGATGACATTGCTGAATTGAAGCCTACCATATTCATTTCAGTTCCACGTTTACTCAATCGTGTTTATGATAAAGTAATGGCTGGAGTTAAAGCTAAAGGTGGTGTTGCACAATGGATGTTCACCGCTGCATACAATGCGAAAAAAAATGGATTGGATAAAGGAAATGTTGATCATTGGATGTGGGATCGTGTAGTTTTCGCTCCAATTAGAGCTAGACTTGGTGGTAGAGTTAAAGTTATTTTGTCTGGTGCCGCTCCTATTTCAACTGAAGTTATGGATTTTTTGAGAATTGCTTTTTCAGTTGATGTATATGAAGGATATGGTCAAACTGAAAATGCTGCTTGTTTGACAATGGTAAATATTTTGATATGATAATCTATTATTATTATAATTATTTATATATGATTTATCGAGCGATTTTAATTTTTTTTTTTTTTAAAAAAAGTCTTTGTTTGGAGATACTTCGTCTGGTCACGTTGGTCCACCACAAGTTTGCGTCGAAGTTAAATTAATTGATGTACCAGAAATGAATTATACTTCAAGAGATAATCCTTATCCTCGAGGTGAAATTTGTGTTCGTGGTCATAGCGTTTTTCGTGAATATTATAAACTTCCTGAAAATACTGCTGAAGCTCTTGACAAGGACGGCTGGTGTCATACTGGTGATATTGGATATTGGGATGATCAAGGTCGTCTAGTAATTATAGATCGTGTAAAAAATATTTTTAAACTATCTCAGGGTGAATATATTATTCCAGATAAGGTATTTACTTTATTATTTATTTATTTATTTATTTATTATTATTATTTTTAATAACGTATGAAAAAACAATTTTTTTTTTTTAGATCGAAAGTATATATATTAAACATGAACTTGTTCACCAAATATTTGTTCATGGTGATTCTTTACAACCTTCATTAGTTGCTATTGTTGTACCTGATGAAGGAATGCTTTTAAAATGGGCCAAACAAAATAATTTAGGTAGAAAATCTTTTCAAGAATTATGTGAAGATTCTAAAGTTAAAGGATATTTACTTCAATCTCTTATAAAATATGGTAAAATCAATAATTTGAAGGGGTTTGAAATTGTAAAAAATGTTCATTTAACTTATAAACCATTTTCTATGACAAATAATTTACTTACTCCAACATTAAAATTGAAAAGGTATCAAGCTAAAATAAAATTTCATAATGAAATTATTGAAATGTATGCTGAAATTGCATAAAAAAAAAAAAAAGAAAAAAAGAACGATTATAAAATTTTAGATTGGATTAGACAAATATAGTATTATTTATTATATTTATTCATATGTATTTATATTATTTTTTGTATATATATCATTAATAACATTTGATTTATTTATAATTTATGGTAATTAATGATATGACGCATCTAAATTTTCAACTCATGTAATATGGGGGGGTGTATACATCCTAATGATCCTACCAGAATTTAGGAGTTATACATTTGCACGTGATAGCGTTAACTGACTTTCACGTTAATATAATCTCACCATGTCTATTGGACAATCTGGACAATCGCGACAGGTCTCTGATCCGATTATAATGACTAACGTTCAAATTATTGCTTACTTATTGAGGAAGGTTATGAGCAGGAAAAATATCGTATTTTTTTCATTCGTTTATAGCAATAGGAAATGACTTTTTTCCATATCAGATATGTAACAACGAGGGAAATTTGATTGTCGTGTTACGTTAAATTTTCATTAGTTTTTTTTGTCCTTTGTTATAAATAATTCTTTTTTGTTTCCTTTTCTTTTTTAACGAAAAGAAATATCTATAGTATTTATTTTCGTAATATAATAAAAATCTATACCGAAAGTAGTATTAAAAATTTTAATTTTTTAAATCAAAGAAAATATGTTTGTCATAAAGAGAGGTGTGTAAAAAAGAACAAACGAAAACTTCATGTTAATATTTTTCTACTGGTTTTTGCTTATTGTTGAATAATTATTTATTCATAAATTTATTATAATAAGGCGGAAGAAAAGAAACAGTTTATTTTGATAAGATAACTTCCAGAATTTCTAAACTATGTTATGGTTTAAATATGGAGTTTGTTGATCCCGCGAAAATATCTCAGAAGGTGTGTTAATTCTCTCCAAATTTACGTATCTTGATCTAAAAATATTTCGCGTTTTTTTTTTATGTTAATGATAGGTTGTCAGTGGTATGTATCAGGGTGTCACCACTGTGGAACTTGATAATTTAGCGGCTGAAACTGCTGCATATCTAACTTGTAATCATCCTGATTATGCTATTTTGGCGGCAAGAATTGCAATTTCTAATTTACACAAGGAAACAAAAAAACAAGTATAAATAATAATATCTTTCACGATTATTAAATCACATAAAAAAACGGATCCTAATCTTAAACCCTAACCTTTTCTTGAAATATTAAGTTTAGCACAGTTATTCAAGATCTTTATAATCATGTTAATCCAATTCGTAAAGTCCATGCACCTTTAATTTCTAAAAAAGTTTATGATATTGTTATGGAAAATGCTGATAAATTGAATTCAGCAATCATCTATGATAGAGATTATGGTTATAATTATTTCGGATTTAAAACTTTGGAAAAAAGTTATTTAATGAGAATTGAAGGTATAAATGAAATAATTTTAAAAAAATTTTGTTATCAGAAATGTACTAATACCTTTTTTTTTGTGACTTTGTAGGCTTAGTTGTTGAAAGACCACAACACATGTTGATGCGTGTTTCTATTGGAATTCATGGTTATGATATTGATGCAGCTATTGAAACTTATAATTTAATGTCCGAGAAATATTTTACTCATGCAAGTCCAACTTTGTTTAATGCTGGTACACCAAGACCACAAATGTCAAGCTGCTTTTTAGTGCAAATGAAAGATGATAGGTAATATTTAAAATATTTATGTTTAAAATTATCTAAGGATTCGATTTTAAAATTATTTTACGTGTATTCACTTCTTTAGTATCGAGGGAATATATGATACCTTAACAATGTGTGCCTTAATTTCCAAATCTGCTGGTGGTATTGGTATTAGCATGCAAAAAATTCGGTGTGCCAGTTCCTATATTGCTGGTACTGGAGGAACTTCAAATGGTCTTGTCCCAATGTTACGTGTTTTCAATGACACTGCGCGTTTTGTAAATCAAGGTGGTGGTAAAAGGAACGGAAGTTTTGCCGTGTAAGTAAAATATAATAGTTGATTGTTCAAGTTGATTATTCAAATGTTTTAATTTAAACCATGTTCGGTTAAATTAGATACATTGAACCATGGCACGCCGATATATTTGAATTTCTCGATTTGAGGAAAAATACTGGTAAAGAAGAAATTCGCGCACGTGATTTGTTCCTTGGATTATGGATTCCGGATCTTTTTATGAAAAGTATATAAATAAATTTTTCTTTTACATTTCTTATATGAAATGATTTCCAAGAATATTTTATAATTTAAAGGGGTTGAAAAGAATGATGATTGGTCTTTGTTCTGTCCTCATGAATGTCCTGGTCTTTACGAACTCTATGGCCAAGCATTTGAAGAATTATATATTAAATATGAAAGATCCGGTAAAGCACGTAAAACAATTAAAGCACAGAAACTTTGGGTTGCCATAGTTGATGCTCAAATTGAAACTGGCATGCCTTATATGTTATATAAAGGTAACCATATAACTTAAAAATTGTTTGTTTTAAATATTTTTCAAAATTTGTTAACATTAAAGACTTATTAATATTTATAGATTCTTGTAATGAAAAATCTAATCAAAAGAATCTTGGTACTATAACATGCTCTAATTTATGTACTGAAATTGTTGAATATACTGCACCCGATGAAGTAGCCGTTTGTAATTTAGCTTCAATTTCATTACCTAAATTTGTTAATACCAAATCGAAAACTTTTGATTTCTTGAAGCTTCATGAAATTGCTAAAGTTGTTATAAAGAATTTAAATAAAGTCATTGATGAAAATTATTATCCCGTTCCAGAAGCTGAAAAAAGTAACAAGAGACATAGACCGTAAGTATATAATTATTGAATTTTTTTTTATTGAAAGTAATTCCCATTAAAATTTTCTTTTTGATTCTAACAGAGTTGGCCTTGGAGTACAAGGAAAGTATAACTTATTTTTAAGTAATAGTCATTATTATTAGATAAATTCAATGGTAATAACGATATTCGATTCTTTTATAAAACAGGGCTTGCAGATGCATTGATACTTCTTAGGTATCCATGGGAATCTGATGAAGCGCGTAAGCTTAACCGAGATATTTTTGAAACTTTATATCATGCATCTCTTGAATCATCATGTGAAATTGCTGCTAAAGATGGTCCTTACCCTACATATGAGGGTTCCCCGATTAGTAAAGGTATCCTTCATTACGAATTGTGGGGAACAGGAGTACAACCTTCAGATCGATGGGACTGGGCAGAGTTGAAAGAAAAGATCAGTCAATATGGAGTAAGAAACTCTTTGTTGATTGCACCGATGCCCACTGCATCTACGAGTCAGATTCTTGGAAACAATGAATGCTTTGAACCATACACAAGCAATATTTATCAAAGACGTGTATTAAGTGGGGAATTTCAAGTAGTCGTAAGTATTATAATCAAATAATTTTATAGTAACATGAATAAAAAATTTAATTATATCTTGTTTATTTAGAATTATCATTTGCTTAAAGATCTTACAGAGAGAGGTGTTTGGGATGAGGAAATGAAAAATGAGATCATTGCTGCCAACGGCTCCATCCAAGGTCTTGAGGAGTTGGATGATGAATTAAAAAACCTTTACAAAACTATCTGGGAAATTCCACAGAAAGTTTTGCTTGATCTTGCGGCAGATCGTGCACCATTTATTGATCAATCACAATCGTTAAATGTTTTTCTATCAGAACCCAGTGTTGCTAAAATATCATCCATGCATTTGTAAGTATTTATTTATTTATTTTTTCTTATTATTATTTTTCATCATTTACTTATAATTTAATATTATCTATACAGTTACGCGTGGAAGAAGGGTCTTAAAACTGGCATGTATTATTTACGTACAAGACCAGCTGTTGATGCTATTAAATTTACTGTGGATCAAGCATCATTAGCAAAGAAAGCGGAAAAAAAATCTTTATAATAATATTAAACTATAATATTTTAAAAGTAATAATACTTAAAAACATCATCGAAATGTTCAAATTAACTACAATTATATGTAGCAATAACTCAAAATAAATAATTTGAATAGTTATCGCAAAGTAACATTTAACTTTTCTTCAATATCTTCTCTAACTCGTTCTTGTATTTTGTTAATTTCGTCATTTGTGACAGTTCTAACAAAGTAAGAAATTAAGGAATTAATAAATATTTGTATATACATATGAATATATACACAGTGAAATTCGATATAATAGAACCATCCGTTCCATTAACAAAATTTGTCAAAAATCCGTTACATCAAGAATTCCGTTATATCGAGGTAAATTAATTATACGCCCCAATTCCGATATACCAAGATTTTACTTATGATCCGTTATATCGAGGTTCCGGTATATCGAATTTCACTGTGTAAAAATATACATATGTATAATTATTTATCATGCATAAAATTTTCTACCTGTCCATAGATCTGTAATTAATTCTATAGCATAAACTTCTTTTTTTTGTTTTCGGATGTACAAAATCATCAATCTATAACAATACAAGATGTCAAGTTATTTCTTTAAATTCAAAAAAAGAATTTTCTCGTCTGAAGGAAGGCTCACCAGTTTAACGTCTTCAACCAAGTCTTCAGCATTATTCCTTATAATTTCACAAAAATTATTTTCATGAAAATTTTGATCATTTAACCAAAAACTAATGTCTTTTATACAGGGAGGAAATTTTGAAAAGGGGAGAAATTTTATAATTTTATTATCATTAAAATCAGTAAATTGATCTAAAAATCTTTCATCTTGTGACCAAAATAATCTTATATCTGGTATGTCAAATAATACCATAGCTATACGTTCTAATCCTAATCCAAATGCCCATCCAATTTTATCACTTTGACCTTTTTGTTGTATTTAAAAAAAAAAAAAAAGATTTTCAAAAGAAAAAAAAAAAATTAATAATTCCATAAGTATAAAGAAGAAAATTTTTAAGAAATCTCAAAGTATCACTTACCAGCCTTATTTAAGATATTTTGATCAACTATACCACAACCACAAATTTCTAACCATTTACCTTTAAAAAAAATTTCCATTTCCCAACTTGGACAAGTAAATGGAAAATATGCATCAATCCATCTAATTTTTAAATTTTCATCATGATTTATAAATAATTTTTTTATTAAAGAATTTAAAGAAAATTTTAAATGTTTTATAGCAAAATTAACTTGTTCAATTGGATGACATGATTGTATTGGATTGTTTGTGGAAATTATTGTATCATCATTAACTTCACTATTATCTCTTAAAGGAATTTTTCTTGAATTCAATGAAATTAAATATTTTTTATCCTTAGATATTTCTTGTTCTATATTTTGTATATTAAATATTTGAGCACCTTCCATTTGATGAAAAATAGGATAATGAGAAGAATCAATTTCATCTCTTCTATAAACATCACCACTAATCAAAAACTTAGTATTCATCTTACTGAATACTTCTAATTGATGAGCTGAAGTATGTGTTCTTAACATGATTTGTTTATTTATATAATAACTATCAGTTTTACTTCTACCAGGATGATCTTTTGGAAATCCCAAATCATCGAAATTTTTTTGTACTGTTACGATAGGATTAAATGTATTAAAGTAAGAAAAGTGTGGAAAGTGTTGTTCGATTTGTGTTCGTAAAATGTAGAGTGGGTGATGTGGTTGTAAATGAAGTTTTCGAGAGAGTTTTGATAAAATTGAAGGCGAAACGTTTGTTTGATCATCTAGTTTATATGATATACCTTCTATTGTAAATGTTTCGTTATGAGTCACATGTGGATATGGATTAGATGGAGTTTCTGTTGATAAAACTGATGAAAATAGTTCATAATTATATTCTTATGATCGGAAATAGAGATATATATAATTTTTTTCACGACAGAAAATAATTTACCTTGAAATGAATTTAAACTCTTTGAATTTTGTAATGATGAAAACATTTTTTTGTAACATGACGTAAATTTTTTTGTACTTGAATAATATGAAAATTGTATTCGATTCATTTTTTAAGGTATGTTATAAAATGGGCGAGAAAAAAGGTTGGGCTATATCTATAATATTATCTAGATTATCACTTATGTATATCAGATTATCATTATCATTTCATTAAAGATTTATTCTATTTTTTTTTATAATTATGGAAAATAAAAATGAATTACCAATCTTTGCCGAAATATTACCAAATGTAAAGTCTATGACTGTTAGTGTTGGTTTAACGAGAAGTAAAGAAGAGACTTTATATGAATTCGGGTTATATCCATTAAAATTTATATTTGAATCAAAATCACCAACTAAAACAATTTCGAAATCAACAAAAACTTTTTCTACATCAAAACTTGAAATACCTTTAATACAAACAGTAGAAACCTCAGAACAACCAATAATAACAAATTCTAATGAAGGCATAGACATAAAATTAAAATTACGTACCTTTGTACGTAAAAGACCACCAAAAAAAGATATTAGCATAAGCGAAACCTACCAAGCCCCTTTTAATTCAACAAATATATCTTCGTTTAAAAATATATTATGTAGTTATTGTAAAAAATTTTTAGTTAAAAAGAATACGTTAAAGAAAATATTGGACATGCCATCGGAACATTGGGCTGAGTTAGTAGATTGTTGGATGTGTCACCAGGAAGATTATAAGCACGCTAAAATTGGTGATATTATCGCACAAGAAAATATTGGATTGGTTTCCAATAGCTATTTTTTATTGCATCCTAATAATATCGAAGAGGATTCTTTGAAAGTCGATGAAGAAGAATTACATGAAATTGATGTAAGTTATTATTCCCTTCTCAAAAAAATTAATAAATTGCGGTTTAACACGGACTTAAAGAAGGCCATTATTGTGAGATGATGATAACTTGGTCGATACTACGAGTCCAAAAATAAATATTTACTCATATTTCAAATCAGCATGCTTCTTGACTAAAATTGTTTTGACATGTTATTACGTGAGTGTACATTCTCTAATTATAATTTATGTATTAACAATATACACATATATTTATTCTTTTTAAAAAAACATAGTGGACAAAAGGAATGTCAAAGAAATGGATATCAATAAATTGTTCAAGATGTTTCGCTTCTGTTGGAGATGGTCTATATTGTAAATCTAAAGAGGAAGAAAAAGATGAATTAAAATTGTTAGCTGTTAAACTTAATAAGTATATGACTTTAGTTGAAATGGAGGGCGGTGCCGATGCTGATAAAAAAGAGTAAGCATCATTTAATAAAATGGATCTTGTTATGTTCAATTAAGAATTTTTTTTTTTTTTTTTTTAAATATTTTTTTTTTTTTTTGTACAATTCAAAAGTTACTTTTTTTTGGTATTACCAAAAAATATAGATTTGGTTGTTTGGATGGGACTCGAAAATTATGACGAATGTATTGGAAGAATGTAATTCCTTCAAAATATTTTCAAGGAATATTGAAGAAGATTGTAGCGTTGTTGAAAGTAATTTGAAAATATGTGATGGTAAATTATCATAATCTCTTTTGAAAATATATTTATCAAAAAGGGTTTATTAAATCCAAAAAATCCGCTTATAAATAGTTATGAAGATATTGTATATTGATTGTACGATTATAAACCAAGATACTGATGATGATAAGTCCGTAAGGTATATTTTGATTCTTTTATAACCATTATTCAATATTATAAATTCTTCGTTTAATTCTTCATTATGTAGGTTATTGGAACAATGGAGAAAAGATAATACGGTGGAACATTTTATATATCAAGATGATATTTGTTTAGAGTTGTTGTTATTGCTAAGAAAAAGTACAAGTTGCTTACCTGCTAGTAAGAAGTATATGAATGAGTTCTTGGTAGGATTTATGGATATGAATGGGTAAATTACCAAGACAAATAATAGAGTTCTTATTAAACAAGTATATTATGATGATGATGAACCAATGAAGAAAAAAATATATTTAAGCTGAAAAAGATTTGGCTTTGCCAATTTTATTTGATTTAAAGAATTCATGAAACTAAGCTAAATTAATTCTAATTTTGGTTTTTTTTTTATTCTAACTTATTTATCGAAATTTTATTTTTACATTAAAAGTAAAAATCTACTTATCAAACTTCATATTGAAATTTTTACACATGTTTACCACCAATATTCCAGCCCATTCTTTTTAATTTTTTAACTATAGGAGGAGTGACAGCAGCGGTTACTCCTAATCTAAAAGGAACTAATAGTTTATGTATACCATAAGCAATAACTAACGTGCTAGCCCACGACGGCGTTTTATTAGATTTATTACCATTAACAGCAGTGTCATTCTCAGTATTGTCAGTTTTAGGTGTATTAGTGTTAGGATCTTTTCGTAAGACGATCCAACTACCAAAAGTTTCCGTAAACCAGTCTTCAACTTTTCTAACACGATCAGCTCCACCAATTTGGATAAGAATAAATGTTAGTCCTAAATCCAATGCTGAAATTACTAAATATACTACTATAGCTGATACTCCATATTTTTTTGTCAATATTTTAAATTTTTCTGTCATACTTCTTCCCTCGACTGTATCAGTTTCTACAGAAGTTACTTTTGAGGAAGAATCTTTTGAAATAGATGTTAAATTATTCCTCGACTGTGAATTCTTTTTAGAATATAAGAAATTAGTGTTGAATGTGGAATTTTTTTTTGGCGATTGTAATGAAGAAAATGAATTACGAAATGAATTATGATAATTCATTAAGGATGATAATCTTAGTATCGATTGTTGTCTTGTAGCATCCTTTGCGTCAATAAATGCTTGGTATTGATATTGATTTTTTAAGTGTGCTAATATGTTGTTGCTATTTCTTTTTGATGAAATAAGCTTGTTAGTTGAATTTTTTAATGTATTGGATAATAATACCGAAGATATTCGAAAATTTGAATTCTTTAAAACCGTTGCGAACGCTCCTTTTGTTATCGACATGGTACTGATTAACATTTTATCAGTAAAAGGAAGAAAGAGATTTGTAGATTTTATCATATTATAATAAACGGTATTGATAATCACATTACCAGCTGATTTCTATTTTAGGTAAGAAATGTTAATTACCAAATCCAAAGTTTATCACGTGACTGATTTCATAATATACATCTAATCTAGTAATTGTATTTTAACGAATCCTTAAGCTATTTTATAACTCTTAATACCTTTTTTAAAATAAAAAAAAAAGATATTAAAATTGGACCAGTATATTATGAGCTAATTACAAAAAACTACTTTTGCAAAAGAAAGCAGATTTGAAATTCAATCCTCAAAAAATAATTTTTGACAATTATCTCACAATCTACTAATCTGATATCTTTTTTTTTATTTTTAAAAGAACATTGAAAACTATAAATTAATCACTGGATTATGAGTTAATGCTTTTAATTATTTTTTCCAATTTTTATATAATAATTTACTCAGATTCTTAGGTAAATTATAAATTAAAGTTTTTTTTGAAAAATATTTAATAATAATTTTTTTATTTTATTTTTTCTTTTTGGTAAAATTTAACATTAGAATTTATTCTATATTTTTATTATTCCTATAAATATATTATATTTACATAAAATTTTTTATAGGATTAATGTTTATGTCTTATTAAGCAGCTTATTTATTTAAATGTAATAAGTAATATATAGTATTACATAAATTTGCCAGATTTCTTTAAAAATACTTGGTAATTTTCATATTGCATAAAAATATATAAGTTTCTAATAAAATTACTCAAATTTTTTTTATTTGAAAGCTAATCCTTTATACACTTTATATTTTAAATTAAAAAATTTTAAAATATAAAAAAAAATTATTTAATTATAAAATATAATAACTTTTTGAGATTATTTTTTTTTTTTTTTTTTTTTTTTTCCACTCGCGTAAACGTGAAACTCCTTTATTAAATTTGTAAAAAGCGCACCATTTACAAAAGCAACCTCAAAGAATCACATTGAAGTAACCAGTGCAAGCACTGATTCAACCTCTCCATACCGGGCGCTTCGGCCTACCGCTCGGTCAACCCACGATCCCCTTTAAATACTACACAACTACAAGAAAAACTATCTACCTATAAGTTATNCATCATCATCATATGGCTTTAGTAAATGCTTTCACTACCCTCTAAACAAAAAGAAGAACTATATTTGTATTTATATAATTTGAGATTGTTATATGCCTTCCAAATTACCCTATTTCCATTTTTAATAAATTGATTTATATATTGTCTTGTTTTTTCTAAAGAAACTGACAACTGTTCACCACATTTAAAAATTTTTCTTCCCTTAAGGTCATATGTACCATCTTCCACTTGCTGGGTTGGAATTCTTTCATATACGATACGTTGTTGTGCTGATATTTTTTTCCTTAAATCTTGCTTTTTAATTCCTTTTGTACGTTCACAATCTGCAACTATGTCACAACGTGGTTGCCAAATAACCTTATAAAATTCAGTAATAAACATTTCTAAAAAAAGGGAAGCAATTGTTAGTGTAGCTTTTTCTGATTTGACTTTTTGAGATTATTTTATACAGTATATAATATCTTTTAAAGTTAATATCTTTACATTAAAGACTGCAAATGGGATTCAGAATTTAAGTTAGATCTGAACTAGCATATGATTTTTTATTAAATTCAGATTTCATAATTCTGGCCAAAATCGTTTTAATTTTGACTGAAATTAAACTGGCTAAAATTAAGTTGGCTGATTATTTTGTTTTTATAATAAATCTAATTTAAGTTTTTAATATATTAAATTTAGGCCAAATTAGACTGATCATTTTAAATTAATTTTTTATGTATTGGCAGATAAAATGAGCTATATAAAATAATTTAATATTAGTAATCTTAAAACTTATTTTCACTTTTATTATAGATATTCAAAATTCCTTTACTTTAGCGTCTTTGGCCAAAGTTACAAATCTTATTCACTCTTTTTGCGACTCTCTAATCAATTTTTCTTATAAATGGGTTTGACATGTATTGTAGAAAAAGTCAGCCTATTACAGCAGAATATGCACATTTTTCTGGTGGAGATCTATAGTATTTGACATATCCATCCTTGTAAAAATATCTTTCTTCGCAGATAGACCTAACTTTTTTCTTATATAGGCAAGGCTAAGATAAATAATTAGAATTTATAAAGTCCTCTAAATCAAATATATATTCACCAAAAAGACTAAAGTGTAAAAATGGGTCCTCAATTAATTTCTAAAATCTGCAATATTGCGGGTTTTAAAAATCAATTGCACTTAGTAATCTAATAATCCACAAACCCACAAATAATTCACAAATCTGCAAATAATTTATAGTATTACAAATAATCTGCAAATTTGCAAACTCACAAATAATTCACAAATCCGCAAATAATTTATAGTATTACAAATAATTTGCAAATCTGCAAATAATTTATAGTATCACAAATAATTTGCAAATAATTTACAGTATCACAAATTTGCAAATAAGTAGACAAAATTGTTCACTTTTTAGTATATAAATAAATTTGATTATATTTAAATATAAAGATTAAATTAATATGATTTATAAGTTTACAAAATAGACAAAATTAGTACAAATAAATTTGGTTATATTTAATTGCAAAGATTAAATTAACATGATTCATGAGTTTAGGAATTGGTATATTAAAGACAAAATATTTTTACTGAAGAAATTACAGAAATTATTCATTCATTAGATTTTAATGAAATTGAAGAAGTAGATAAAGATTCCAATTTTGAAGATTCAAATATAATTAATGATAAGTCAAATAATAATGTTGAAGTTATTATTGAATGGCATCCATTACAGTTGAAAAATTTTATTGATTTAAATAATCCAATTATTACAAAAGATATTGATATTAATACAAGATAATAGTGATACAGATTTAAGTAATGAGAAAGTAAAAATAGTCAAAATACTAATAGTAATGATAGTGATAATAAATTAGAAAGTAATAGTGAATCAGAAGATTATAATTATAATCCTAATGAAATTGCAAAAGATATATATAATAATAATGATATTACTGATAATAATTATAATGAATAATTAATAATAATAATTGATATTATAATATTATATACAGTAACTTACAAAAGTAACGCATCACCTTTGAATATGAATTTTAATCACATGTATTGACATCAAATTAAAGCCAATCAAAATAAAATTTTAAATATAAATTATTTATGATGTAAACTACCAAAATGTAATATAGATTGATTTGTTAATTTTTCAAGTACAACACAATTTATCAGAAAAAAGTTATGCATTACTTTTGTGATTTTTATATTTTTTAATAAATTAAACATTTTACAAAAATTAGTAATATATTTTATTATAAATTAAGTGATAAATAAATATTAAATGGTCTAAATTATTAAAAAAAATCAATTATTTTAATAATTTATAATTAATTTTATTTAAGTAATATATTTAATAATTACTATATTAATATATGTAAAATTATAAGATTAGGGTAATTTTAATGCTCACCCCAGGTGAAAATCACCTGGTCATATGATTTATAGAATTTATACATGTAAAGTAAAACTGATTTTTTAATAAATTATAAATTAAAAATTTTCCTCTTTACTTTATTAAAGCATTATAAAATTTGATAGCTAAAATGTTGACCAAAATGGTGAAATTATATTCTTAGCAAGAAAAATTCGAAAATTAGTACCATTATGAAAAATACGGATAAAGAAAGTTGATTTCATTTGAGTAAAGTAGTGAAATTACACTCTGAATTTAATAAACAAAAAATGAAAAATTCAAAAATTATTGCCATTATATAAACGCGAATATCTCTACAAGTATTATACCTATGCTCATGAAATATAAGATATAAGTAGTTTCGATATCGGTGAACAACTTTTACTTAATAAAGGAAGTCAATTTCATTTGACTAAAGTAGTGAAATTACGCTCTGAAATTAACAAACAGAAAATGAAAAATTCAAAAATTATTGTTATTATAAAAAATATGAATATTTCTACAAGTATTATACCTACGCTTATAATATTCAAAATATAAGTAGTTTCGACATAGCTGAACAACTTTCACTTAATAAAGAAAGTTGATTTCATTTGACTAAAGTTACGAAATTACGCTCTGAAGTTAGAAAATATAACACGAAAGAAATTTAGAAATAAATACACTATGAATTGTATGAAATACCTGTAGCTTCACAAGATATAAGTAACAAAACTGAGTCAAAGTGTTTAATATGTGTTAATAACAAAGCTTTTTTAGAAAAGAAATTTTTTTTATTTATAATCATAACGTGATAAATAAATAAATAAATAATTGTGAAATGTAACACAAATCAAGAAGGTGAATTTCACCTAAGGTAATTAAAATTAAAAAATAACCTAGGGTGAATTTTAAATTAATTCATAAGATTAATATACATATAATTAAAAATATTAAAAAAAAAAATATTTTTGTAATAAAATTACTAAATTTTTCATAACGAGAAAAACATTTTTTAAAAAAAAAATCAAGTGGTTGGGTTTGTAGATCAGAAATAATTCATTATCAAAGATTAATAATGATCTTCATTTTATATATAAAGAGAATATTTCATTTAATAACTTCGCATCTAATGATCACAGAAA